TTTTATAAGTCATACTAATGTCCGAAAATCTTTCTCCTTGTCTCTGATCTCATCACGAAATCGTCACAGAGTTCATCTATGTTTACACTATCCAGGATTGTCTGATGTGCATTGCAGATTGCTATTTTTGCGCTTCGCGCTTAACATTTAGCTCGTTGCTTTTTGACGCTGCGTCTTTGCATTTGGCGCACTGCATTTCTATGATGCTGTTGATTGAACAAATTGAATAAATTCATCAATTCCTGATGAAACCGTAATAACTATGAGCGAGAATTCAATTTATTCTTGTCTCATATACGGTTGTCTTATTTACTTCGTATAAAAAGAGATAGCAAAATGTGCATATTGATGGTCATCTTGCGAGTAATAACCATTAACTACTCTCATCTGGCTCTCATCCTTAATTTTTCTCTTCATTTTTTTTTTTTTTTTTTTTTTTTTGATGGTGAATTATTGGGGGGGGGATGATTGTACAGGCCATCCCCCCACCTGAAATATTGGGGGGGGGGATATATCCCCCATCCCCCCCCCCCCCGGGATCGACACCCATGTTGCCAATACCAAGGAGTTTTTAGAGATGGAGACCCAACTGGCAACAAATTCTTCCAAGCAGCTGCCGTTTTCTATGATTGCACAATAGAATCTACTGATGTGCTGTTACCTTTGATGTCCGAGGTTCGAATCCGCCAATATCACTGGAAAGCTTGAGTAGTGATTTGTGTCACAAAGAAATATCCTTAATATTTCACTTTTTATTTGAACTAACAAGGGGAAAATCGAACAGATGATAAAATATGAATACAAAAGCCTAATTGTGTCAAGAAATGTGCTTACATTGTATGATAGCAGCAAAACTTGACAGTCCTAAAACCTGCAATTTGGCACTTTTCCGATTACTTCATGCGGCTCATGAAAATAAAAAGTGAATATTCACGTACAGTTCTTTATGATGTTATAATGTCAGACTAGTGCCCACACATGCCCAGTCGAGTAATTTTGATTAATATTTCAGGAAAATTTGCTCCATTTCCTTTCGCTTGCCTCCTGTGAAGGTAAGCACTGTGTACTGCTCGTATTATCAGACGAGGGGTAGCGAAAAGTAATTATCTTTACAAAAGAATATTTCCCTTTGAAAGTAGCCCGTTAGTTTCCAGCTAGGCAGGAATCTTTTGTCTACGTATCTGCAAGGAAGATCCAGTTAAAAAGCACATGCATGACATATTTTCTCCTGGCGGCATCGAAGATGGTACAAAGGGAATGAGCTAGATAGGACTCCATCTCTTAAAACTTCTTGCCAATACGTTGAATGTTGTTTTACCCAAGCCAACTTTTGAATGTTTTAAGAATTGTTTTAGATACGCTGGTGGTAAATCTGGAATAGTTTACCTTTTCTCTTCAAAATGCTAAATCTATCGATCTCTTTAATAATTGTGATGTACAAGGACAATTGTTTTTAAACATGTGTAATACAATGCCTATTCCTATGCTCTTGACATGGATTATTTCTCTCTCTCTCTCTCTCCCTCTCTTTCTCTTTCTTTCTTTCTCTCTTTTCTTCTCTACTTTCTACCAACTTCCTTACATTTTTTCTCCTCTTCTTATTCTTTTGGTGATATGTTAATGCCTTTTAAGAGATTTGATGTGTTTACTCTGTTAATTTGAATTATTACATTGTCGTTTTTGTATTGCTTTTTACTACTTCAAATACGTATTATCCTTATACTGTTTGTACCTTTGCTTGTGAGCTTTGGTGATTTTCATTATTCATATATCCGTGCCTTTTTATTATGTCAGGACCAGGATGTTAAACATATTATGAGATAATATGTGGCGTCTAATGTCTAATATGAGAGACTTTGGGCCATTAACAAGAACAAACATGAGCGTTGGTATAGTGCATAACGTGTAGGGTATATGGGGGGGGGGGCGGGGGGTCGGGCTTCAATACATTCGCTGTTATTTCTCCCATTTTCACTAAATTTGATGAAACTCACAACAAAGTTAGATTATTATATACCTCATCGAATTCGGGGGTGCACAAAGTGAAGCAGCCGCAATTAAAAAGGTCTAATTTGAGGAGTGAATATCGACTAATGTCCATAACTAATCTGGGTGTATTATAAGTAGTGCATAACGTGTAGGGTATATAAGGAGGGAGGGGGGGGGGGGGGGTCGAGTTTCAATAAATTTCCTATTATTTCCCATTTGCACTTTTGATGACAGTCACATAAAATGTAGATTATCATATACCTCATTTACTTCGGGGTGCACAAATTGTAGCAGCCGCCATTAAAAATATCTAACTGATGAGGGATTAATTTTTGGGCCATTGACAAGAACAATTAGTGTGAGCGTAATTAATAGTGCATAACGTGTGAGGTATGTGGTGTGTGTACGTGTGAAGGGGGGGGGGGTCGTCCCTATAAACCTCATGTGCTAATTCTTAATTTCCATCTTCATAGAAAATAAGATTTCAATAATAAACATAATTATAATTATAATAATAAGAATGCTAATAAAGTTCTAAATTTTGCTAGTTTGGACTTAAGCATATTTTTTATGTTAATGTTGTGAACATTTGAATGGGTTATTATTGTTTAGAAAAATCGTTTGATTACTCTAAATTCTCAAAATATTATATATTTTATATTTCTTCGAATTTAACGGGGAAAAGGGTATATTAACTACTTATATTTGGTCTACTTTTCTTTCTTTTTGTGTGTATGTCATTTCTTTCTTTATTTGAATTGGCGTAAATATTCATAACTGAATGATACACGCCAATAAACATGCTTGCGAAGACGACGTTCATCAGCCAAAATAATGGGCGGAGCGCGTTCATATATAAAAAAACAAAAACATTCTGGCCCATAAGGCTGCTGAGTTCAGTGGCGGGTCCAGGGGGTGGGGGCCAGGTGCGATATTTCTAATTTTCGAGGGCCCCACCCACCAACAAAAAAATATATATATATATGCTCACAACCCCCCCCCCCCCCCTCCCCTCCCCCCTCCCCCCCCCCCCCCCCCCCCCCCCAACTGAGCGTATTTTTAGCCGGCGCGATTTCCAAATTTTCGGGAGCAAAAAAAAAAATAAAAAAAAATTGCCCCCCCCCCCCCCCCCAAGAAATCCTGGATCCGGGCCTGGCTGAGTTTGGTTGCCAGCTTCCGCTTGATGTGCATGTGGTATTGTGAAAGCTATGGTCTTTTATTTTGTAACGAAATTGATCTTTTGTTTGGGAAAGTATGTTCATTGTCCTAATTATCTCCTTTAAGATAAATCATTGGGTATTTTTGCGCAAACTGGCTGCTTGCGACCACAAATGATAAGAGTGTCTAATTCCGCGCAATTTCAATTTGTTATGACATTAACATACTTTTTACTTCACATAAAATATAACAATTTTCAGAATACTCCTCCATGAATATAAATGTATATTACATTTTGTAGGTTACTCATTTGATCATAAGAAAGTCTTTGAATCTTTCCTTTTTTTAAATTTCTTTTCATTCTATATTTCTTTCCTTTTTTACTCAATAAAAAAAAAAAAAAAAACGTTTATCCTTTGATTTATATTTTCATTTAAATAACAGAAAATTTCTCGGCCTAAATAGTAATTTTTGACTAATTGCCGCATAAAACCGAACGCAGAATGCTGTTGTTGTTTAAACCCGGAGTTGTTTAGTTTTATAGGCGTTTATCATGATTCTACGGAAGCGTTAAAGTGCCATTCTACTTGACGACATGACGAGATATTTCATCTTGTCAAGTCGACTTAATGTATATATCATGTCGACATGTAAAGATATTTAACCTAGCATGTCGACTTATCAACTTTTATTAGTCGACATGGCGAAATAAATTATCTTGCCAAGTCGACTTCACAAAAAATTACATGTCGTCATGGCGACATATATTATCTTACCAAGTCGACTACCCAAAAAGTAATGTCGACATGGCGAAATAAATTATCTTGCCAAGTCGACTTCACAAAACGTTCATGTCGTCATGGCGACATGTATTATCTTGCCAAGTCGACTTCACAAAAAAGTTCATCTCGTGATAGCGACATAAATTATCTCACCAAGTCGACTTCCCAAAAAGTATATGTCGTCATGGCGAGATATGTAGTGTGACGACTATTTCATGCAGCGTGCGTACGTGTAGTTCATTCACAGTCGACTAGTCTAGGTCTAGTGACTTCTTAAAGCTGACTCCACGTGATCATTTATGTCGCCAAGACGACATCTACTGTTATTAAGTCGACTCGGTAACATATTTTATCTCGCCATGACAACATGTACTTCTTACGAAGTCGACTTGGCAAGATATTTTTATTTCGCCATGACGACATATACTTTTTGGGAAGTCGACTTGGCAAGATAATTTATTTCGCCATGACGACAGATAGTTTTTGGAAAGTCGACTTGGTAAGATAATTTATGTCGCCATGACGACATGAACTTTATGCGAAGTCAACTTGGCAAGATAATTTATGTCGCCATGACGACATGAACTTTTTGTGAAGTCGACATGGTAAGTTAAATATTTTTACATGTCGACATGATATGAATATTAAGTCAACTTGATAAGATGGGAATATCTCGTCATGTCGTCAAGAAGAATTACTTTAACGCTTCCGTATGTATGATTCGGCACGAGTGAATATCTACGAAAGAGAAGTTTGACAGTAGTCTTGAGCTTAAACCTTTGTTAACCTAGCTCCCGAGTTCAGCTCAGCTGCAATATAATAAGCCTCTTTTTCAATCCCCACGTCACATTGAATAATTGTTAACTAGATCTAAATCTTCTTCGATTAATTTTTATAGCCACACAAGTCACAAAGTAAAAACAAAAAATTAGATGACCGTGTGCCATGCAATTACTTGTTTGCAGAGAGATCAAGTTTAGGCTGTATGCCAAGACTAAAAAAACAACGACACCCTTTCGGCCGGGAATTCCCACTGCTGAACAGTATAATAACGCACCCCGGAAGAAACCATCTTCATTTACTAGTTGGCTTGTGTATGTGCATGTTGAGAGTACACGGACTGTCTGAAAATTGAGGAAGTGTCATCAAATTAGTAAGTAAAAATTGATACCAACTGACAGATATTTTATCTTGCAATTTGGCAGTGGCAGTGGCTTATTTCTTCTTCCCCTTTTCTTATAAGTTATAGGTAGGTAGAGTATGTTCGTATTTGCGTTGCTTTTGTGCCATGTAATGTGTGCAGCTGCAAGGCGTGGTTGCATGTTCCGCGTCAACTGAGACTGCGTGTTGTTCTGCTGATCCTCTCTAGATTAGTAGTATATCGTATGGTATATGGGTTATGTCAGGGATGACATTTGTGTGTGATATTCCGGTATTGCGGATATCATCGCGCAGTTTTCTGAAGAAAACGGGCAGATTAGCTGAAAAAAAGTTGCTATATTTTTAAGTTGTACAATGATTTTCTATGTTATTTTGAAATTGTATGAAAAGTAAATATATTTCCTTTCCAATGCCTAGATAAAGAAAAAAAAAAAAAAATCAGCGGATTGCTAATTCCTCATCCCCCCCCCTAATTGTGGAAGCTGTAAGTAAGGGGTATACTGGACAGAAATAACCATCTGATATGGGTCATTTCTTTAATAAAACTGACATTTGTTGACATTCCCCATATACAGACGGCAACCCAGAGATCTCGTACCGTGGTGGTAATCTGGCCAATCCATGCAGCTGCCACTTATGGTGATGGAGCTTTCTCCCCGATTTTGACTATTTAGATCTAATTTTCTGATTTATAAATCAGATATAAATTAAGTATATGTATTGTACTCCTATTTACAGTAAATAATAATAATTGACCTATCATACAAATGCGAAATTTTTTGAATTACTTATATGATTTATCCAATTTTTTCTCGGAACCGTGAAACGTACCGTTCATCCAATCAAATTAGTAATCTATGACTTCATCCGGCCGATATATTTCCGGGTCAACCTACCAAAACATAGCGAATGGCCAATCAGAGCACTCCTTTCGTATTGGGTTTATGAATATTCATATATCACTGGCTCGTACGTAGCTATTGGACGTTCGAAAAGAAAAAATGAATATTCATTAATTAAAACCAAGATGGATGACAATGAATCATTTCGACTACGAGACTTTCTCGGATTAATCATTAATTTAGGATATAAATGAGCAAGCTATCGTAAGTCAAAGCCATATTTGTTTGTTATTTTTTATATTTTTATTAGCCTAATGTAATATTGCAGCAAAAGTGCATTTATGAGGATGTAAAGGGTGAAAATCTTGTTGCATATCTCATTCATCGCGGTCCTGCGGGGGGGGGGGGGGGGGGGGCAGGTTTTTTTCCCTATGCATGCACAGATGGTATACCCCTAGACCGAAAGCTTCAGTCTCTGATATCGACGGTGGTTCCGCTGAGATTGCATCTGGCTCCATTGCATCTGGCTCACACTAATTGTTCTTGTCAATGGTCCAAAAATTAATCCCTCATCAGTTAGATATTTTTAATGGCGGCTGCTACAATTTGTGCACCCCGAAGTAAATGAGGTATATGATAATCTACATTTTATGTGACTGTCATCAAAAGTGCAAATGGGAAATAACAGGAAATTTATTGAAACTCGACCCCCCCCCCCTCCCTCCTTATATACCCTACACATTATGCACTACTTATAATACACCCAGATTAGTTATGGACATTGGTCGATATTCACTCCTCAAATTAGACCTTTTTAATTGCGGCTGCTACACTTTACTATCGTAAGTCAAAGCCACATTTGTTTGTTATTTTTTATATTTTTATTAGCCTAATGTAATATTGCAGCAAAAGTGCATTTAAGAGGATGTAAAGGGTGAAAATCTCATTGCATATCTCATTCATCGCGGTCCTGCCGAACCGAAACCATTTGATCTACTAGTACGGCATAGGCCGTACTTCAGTCTATGTAAAGAGGCGGTCAGTGGAGCCAGATGCAATCTCAGCGGAACCACCGTCGATATCAGAGACTGAAGCTTTCGGTCTAGGGGTATACCATCTGTGCATGCATAGGGAAAAAAAAAACCTCCCCCCCCCCCCCCAAGCCCCCCCCCCCCCCCCCCCCCCCACGGCCCCCCCCCACGGGCCCCCCCCCACGCCCCCCCCCACGGGCCCCCCCCACGGCCCCCCCCCCCCCCACGCCCCCCCCCCCCCACGCCCCCCCCCCCCACGCAGTCTCTCCGACTCCGGGGTCGGGGGGGAGGGCTATTTAGGGTACGCGTATGCTTGTTCCCTCTTTTTTAAAGCACCCCCTATCTGAGGACTGCCAACATTTCCGAACCCCCCTTTCGCGAGCTTTTCCTGCCATGGAGACCCCCCTAAATACAGAAAAATGCTTAATGTGTCCCCCTAAATTCGGAATAATTTCTCAGGAGTCCAAAGAGATGAGAGAAAAAAGAAAAACACTCCCTTTTTAAAGAAATCTCCTGGTGAAAAGTCAAATACACCCCTTTTTTTACAAATCTCCGGACTTTGTCGCACGAAAAGTACCCCTTTACCGGACATATTGGTAACACGCATGCGGTCATTCCGACCCCGGAATGGGGGGGGGGCCGAACGTCATGTATATCATCTCATCTTTGTTTCAAAGCCACAAAGTTCTTCAAGACGGTTACAAACTTCGATGGTCTTTGGAAAAAGAACCCTTTCTGAATTCATTCTTTTTCAAAATTCAAAGACGGCCTGACGCTGTTAGGATCATCATCAAATAAACTGACGAGCATGAATTAAATTCCTTGAGCGCGAGTTTTTCAGGGTATTTCAGGTGTTCAGATCCGTATAAACGAAGGTGGTCTGTATAATTTTTCATTGGAATAGATGTATACTTACGAATTACAAGACTGATGTGATTGATAATGACACCAAATTTCTTTTATTTCCTTGAAGGTTTCATCAAAATCCAGGATGGCCACCGCTGAAAGAGATATTGTCGTGCTTAAAATGGACGATTACCAATGTCTTAAGGGAAAACAAGAGATGCTTTCACCAAAGAGCAACAAAAATCTGACAGGTATGGTTTTGTTAGAAAAGAATAATTTAGAAATACGTTAAATAAAATACTGCCAAACAAGAGACAGCAGTACACTGATTTAGTTTTAATAGTATAGTATTATTGACTGCTGTGAGAAACAACTTTGTTTCGAAAATTAAAGCAGTCATTAATACTTTATATACCGAAAAATGGTCATAGAATACATGTGCGACTTACCAATCATGGTAATCAAGTTTGTTTATACGCTATCGATACAGCAGACAGTGTAAGGGCCAGGCGCGTAGCCACGGGGTGGGGGGGGGCGTCGGGGCCTAAAATTTCCAAGATCGGTTGAAATTTTTTAGACCTCTCTTTTGACCTCGATCGATTACATGTAGGTGCCCCCCCAAACATCGAACTCTGGCTACGCGCCTGGTAAGGGCACAAGGTTACAAGGTACATACAAATACGTGTGTGGGACTACGGGCTGCATTTTTGTGTTACTGAAATGTGGTCAGAATTCAAGTAATTCATCTACAGACAAGAAACAAGTCAAAGGTAAGGACAAGAATCAGTATAACAGAAATTTCGGATGAAATACCATCAGGAAAGCTATTTAAATTTGTCAGAAATTAGCGACAAACACACTAAATTCAGCGCTGCAATGACGCACAAAACGGTGTAGAATTCAACTTTTCATCCACCAAATAAATTCAAACACTTGCATTATACAATCTTCAATACCTGTATCACTGTTATCGCATGCAATAAAATCACAATCTAGACTATATCTAGACCCAGATCTACGGCTAATAATAAAACGTAGGGCCTACGCCTTGGTGTTCTTGCTGTCTAGCGACCAATTCTTCGCACACACACGATGTATGGTATCCGCGATCGCTCAAACCAGTTTTTAAGCAAGACTGAACTATTCCCGGTAACTTTAATTTTGCCCTCGAACTATTACATGGGCGTGGCATTTTTCGTTTATTTACGGGAATGGCTAAAACCATGACTGCAATTTTGACCAATCAGATAGCTGGATTTCTTAAGTGAGGTATATAACAATTGATAGTTTTAAAATGGTGAGCTCTAATATTCGTTTAAAAGTGAACCATGATTTCTACTGAATTGTGTATATAATGAAAATTATAATCAATACAACTACATATATTGATACAAAAACAATATACTTCCAGTTTAAAGTTTTGCATAATATTCTGTTTTTAATTACAGTACAAGCTTTTCAAAATGTATTTAAAGCTTTCACCAGTATGTATGTTTGGCTGTAAAAATTCAGAAACGGCTTAGAACACGCACTTTTGCAAATTTGCAATGTAGCTATGTTCAAACGTTTGGAATGAAACCAAAGGTTTGTCATCCACCTTTTTTTAGATGAAAAAATAGTTATCGTAGGACATTTAGAAAAACACCAACACTGATTATAATGATAAATCTTTGTTTACTAATAGCAAAACAATATATTTACCTGTGCATAAACAAGGAAAACGAGCCAGGCATTGATTGTTTTAAAAGGATGCTTTTTACTTTGTATAAAGAAGAACAATATATATTGCAAATTGGAAAGGCAAGCTATCATGTTACCATAGAAAATGGAATTGTGTACTACTAGACCTAACTTTTCCGGGGGGGGGGGGGGGGGGGGGGGGGAAGGTAATTGTCGTCGGGGTGGTTGTCCTTTGTTGTCCAGGAAGGGGGGGTAATTGTCCTAGGGGCTAATTTTCAGAGGTGGGGGTGTTTGTCCTTGGTGGGGAGGGTAATTTTTAGGGATTGATTGTCAATTTTTTTTTGTTGTCCTGATATGCCTTGCAAGATATGTTACAGAGTTGCATGTGATTGATTTCAACATTAAACAAATGAAAACTTTATCTATTAGCATATTTTGATAAATCTTTCATTGTTCTGTTTCTCTATTAAAATTAAAATAATATCAGGATGGGCTTCTCCATGTGTTTTAAACAAGTGAAAAAACACCAACTTCTCTCTTCTTCCCTTTTCTCCATATTCCATTCCTCTTCCATACGTTCTATCAAATATCATTCATCATTTTGTATTTATATTTTCTTTCAAGTGCAATGTGATTTCTTTCTTACTATTAAATTTTCTTGCTCTCTCTTTCTTTCTCTCTACTTTTCTCTCCTGTTTCCTTTGCTGTCTGCATTGATGTTTATATGATGCAAGCATTTAATTTTTATTTTGTTGTTATTATGTGCATTGTGGTTATAATGCCAGTCGAGACAATTTTCTGAGTTTTAGGAATAGGGATTTCTCAATAATATCATCTGAATTCTAAACATAGATGGAAACGTTGGTAAATCTGGAGAGGACACTCCTGACTCAGTTCCCAGCAGCCAGGCTTCAGGACCAGATATAGAGGAATTGGTTAAATATACACAGCCCAAGGAAGATGAAAAGAGAGGTGAGCTAATATTTGTATTAAAAAGAGGAGCATGACTTCCATAAAATTTTGCCAATAAACAACAACAAAAATTTATCCTGTAATAGTTAACTCATCAGCAAAATATATTTATCAAAATATGTGCCATTTCTTATTATGAAGATCGAGACGATTGTTTTTTTAAAGCAATAAATCTCTGTGTGTAAAACGCACCCCTATTTTTTTTTTTTGCCGACTTTGTAGGCATCAAGCCAGGTCCGTGATCAAAAATCTATGCGGGGAAGGACCTTTATTTTACTGCGAGATGCAGTTGAAGAGGCCAGTTTGTGCTTGTGAACTTGTCACAAATAATAGTAAAATGTCGTTTTTAAAACTAAAGATGACAGACAAGTCCAAACAGAAATCCAGCCATACAGGTAGTGTTGTTCTAGTTTCTGAGTGGTGAGTCAACACACCTTGTATGACTGAGCTGGGAGACATTGCCAGGCACAGTGGATGGAGGGGCATAAATCAACACTTAAATTTATTTTATTTTTGTTGTTGTTGTTTGTACCTGTGTATAAGACGCTCCCCTGACTTTCAAAAAAAAAAATTGGCGGGAAAAAAGTGAGTCTTATACACGGAGATTTACGGTATATATTCCATATTTTCTAAATGTTTGAGAGCTCTTAGAAAAGAAGGAAATAGTGGAATAACGTTTTGGATTTGACAAGTGTACCAAAAATATATTCTTTATCTGTGATCAAATCATTTTGTATATTCTTTTCTTTTCACTATACAAATATAACATTCCAGAGAGATCATACTTTTTACCATTTACAAATAAATGACTGTCTGTTCATGCTGTTCATGATTTCCACTAAAAATACACATTGAAGAAGTACTTATACCTATTTTACAAAGAAATCTTTGTGTTGCAATATTTCTATGATTAAGTTTGGCAGTGCCATTTTTACATGACAAGCAGTAATTTTTTTCTAATTATAGGAGAATTAAAACTGTATTCCGTTGATTGATTTAGAGTTTGAATTTTTATTCAAAATGAAGATCTTGAGAAGGCAGAGTCAGAGGATAATACAGATGCCATGCCTTCCAACAAACCTATAGCAAGAGTATCAGCAATGCCACAATCAACTTTCCCTCTACCACAGCAACCATGTAATGAGAAAGTTAGCAGCAGGACCCTTCCCTCTGCAGTTGCCAGTTCTGGACCTAGATGCGAAGATGGAGCAAGGCAAGGAGTCGAAAGGAACACTGTTGAGTAAGGGTTTTGTTTTGTTTCATTTTACTTCTTTGTTTAGAAGGTTAGAGATTTAAATCTTGGACCAGTGGTTACAGCCATTAGCAAGGCATCTCATTCATCATTGCCTGTCTCAACCCAGGTGTAGCACATACCTCAATGTAATCGCTCTATATACATGTAGTGCATCACAGTTTTGCAGTACACCTTTAGATAAAAGATATGTAACTGGAGAAATATTGAGGCTCCACACAGGATGATGAGCAGGTTTTTTTTGTTAAGAAGATGATCAGTTTAACCGTTAAGTTTCGTTCACTTAACCCCGTCAAAAACTGTCAAGAGAAGCAAAAAAACACAATTAAAAGCACTGTTTGTTTTATGCTTCCTCATTGTACCACGGTGTCCTTTTCTGCAGCAGTGGAAGACATTTGTGAATGAAGCTGTATAAAAATCCATACTTTTATTGGGGAACGACATTCACTGTAGTTTTTAGTCCATGTGTGTTCATTTAATCAATGTAAAACTAAAAGGATGCTAGTTAGAAAGTATTTAATACAACCACAAATCTATGAAAACTTCCATTTGATTTTTATGTTTAATACTTATATATATATATATATATATATATGAACAATTAATCTTAAAATCTTTTTGAAAAATTGAACAATTGTGGGACTTTCTGAACAGTACACACACATATGAATTTATGATTTTTCGTGCGCCCTTAGACAAACAGTAGTGCCACCATCAACTCTACAACAGCAACCCTGTGATGAGGAAGTTAGCACCAGGACAAGTCCCTCTTCAGTTGCCAGTCCTGGAACTAAATGCGAAGATGGAGCAAGGCAAGGAGTTGAAAGGAATGCCGTTGAGTAAGGTTTTTTTTTTCTTCTTCATTTTACTTCTTTGTGTAGTAGGGCTAGAGATTTAAATCTTGGACCAGTGGTTACATCCATTAGCGAGGTATTTCATTCATCATTGTCTGTCTCAACCCAGGTGTAGTGCATGCTTCAATGAAATCCCTCTATGTACATTTAGTACATTATAGTTCTGCAGTACACCTCCATATGTATCTAGAGAAATATTTAAGCCCGTCAAAGATGTTGTGCAGGGTTTTCAGTAAAAACAAGATGATCAGTTTTACTGTCAAGTTTCGTTCACCTCCAAAAACTGTCAAGAGGAGCAAAAACAACAACGAAAACTGTGTGCTAAAAAGGCCCTTATGTTTGTTATTAAGATACGGACATCTATAAAGCACGCTGTTTATCCTACCTCATTTTACCATGGTGTTCTTTTTGCGGCGGTCGACTCCATCATTTGTGAATGATGCTTTATAAAAATTCATACTTTATTTTATAGGGAACGACATTCACTGATCTTTCTAGTCTAGGCAAGTTTGTTTAAACAATATGAAAGGATGCTTAAGTATTTAATACAAACACAAATCTGTGAAAACTCTCATTTGATTTTTATGTTCAATATATAAACAAATAACCTTGCCGTACGCAGCATAGAATTGGGATTTTTTTTTTTTTTCATCATGCATATATTCCCCATTTTTTCCAAACAATTTTATACCATGTTTATCTCTTCATGACCATTAATAAAGGAATGAGCGTCCATTCAAGATAAATGTCTGTGCAGGCAAGCTCTTGTAATACATAGCAAATATGGGAAAAAAACATATAAAAAATCTATTATAGCTCTTTGGGATGCACCAGGACCCCCAATTTTTAAAAATATTTGGATAGATTATGAGTCTGAGATATGATCTCATGTCTCATTTGGCCATATTAAGTATATTTTGACCATTAAGTACATTTTGACATCATCATAATGGCCTTAAAACTTAAAATACGAATTTCTATATTATGAAGTCAAGCATATTTATGGAAAATTGAGTGCATCTCTGTAAATATTGATTGTTTTTCTCCCAATGATATTGTAGCTGAGACAATTTTCTACATGAAATGTGACTTTTAATTTTCATCTTAACAATGGCATTATGGCCCTTTTTCGATTAAAGGAGGCATGTCAATTTTCCCAATTTTGTGTGTATTCTCTATATGCATGGGAGGTTTTCTGAAATCTTGATTCTACATTCCAGTCTTGTTCGAGCAATATCTTGATTACTTTTGCTCGATTTTCTCCCAGCTTCAGATATGTTGTAGCTGAGAAAATCTTATATACAGAAGATGACATTTAATTTTTTATGGTTATCAGAATGTCAAAAGGTCATTCAACGCCATCAAATTCATGACAGACCACCTACCGTAATTTGTCTTCAGCGACGATTTAAACTCTTGTTTTACCATGGTGTTCTTTTTGCGGCAGTGAACTCCATCATTTGTGAATGAAGCTTTATAAGAAATTATACTTTTTTTATGAGGAATATATCAACATTCACTGCAGTTTCGATTATTGTCAAGTTTCTTTAAACAGTGTAAAAGAATCCTCAAGTTCTAATACACAACAAACCGATCCAAATTCTCATTTTTAAATTTTTTAAAAATTTTAATGTTAACAAAATTATCTTTCTGAAATATTCACGATTTGGGTACTTTCTGAACAGTATATACACACACATACAATTGTCATTTTTCTTGCCCCCTTAGACAAACAGCAGAGTCAGAGGATAATACAGATGCAGTGCCTTCCAACGAACCTACAGCAACAGTTACATCAGAGCCACAATCGACTGTCCCTCTACCTCAGCAACCCTGTGATGAGGAAGTTAGCACCAGGACCCGTCCCTCTTCAGATGCCAGTCTTGGCACAAGATGCGAAGATGGACCAATGCAAGAAGTCAAAAGGAACGCTGTTGAGTAAGGGTTTTGTTTTGTTTTCATTGTACTTCTTTGTGTAGTAGGGCTAGAGATTTAAATCTTGCACCAGTGGTTACAGCCATTAGCAAGGCATCTCATTCATCATTGCCTGTCTCAACCCAGGTATAGCACATGCTTCGATGTAATCCCTCTATGTATATTTAGTACATTATAGTTCTGCAGTACACCTCCAGATGTAAGTACATGTATCTGGAGAAATATTTAGGCCCGTCAAAAAATGTTGAGCAGGGTTTTTTTTTTTTAAAGAAGATGATCAGTTTTACTGTCAAGTTTCATTCACTATATAGGCCAAGTCCACTCCAAAAATAACTTACTTTAAATAGAAGTAGAAAAATCAGACAAACCAATCAAAAAAAAGTTTAAGTAAAATTGGATGGAAGTTATGATTTTTGAAAAAGTATGAAAAGGTATGGAACAATAGAAATCACTACACAATTTGCCAATTTGATTATCAGTTTGTGAAGTCATTGACTCACTATTTATCAATTGCTTTATGTATTTTTATCCATTAATTTCCCTTTTTATCTCCCAAAACTTGATTTCCCCATTCCTTTGCCCAGGTTATATGATTTGTATCATATTTGGTGCTTGACATTTCACAAAATCTTGTATGAACTCTGAAGAATTTATACTATTTTCTGAATATTGTATATTGAAACAATGAAAACCGTTTGCTAAAAAGGCCCTTACGTTTGTTATTAGATACTAGAGCGCTTTCGCAAACACGTTGGAAGAATAACGGGAATACACCCCTTCCGTCCTGTTTAGGGAACAAACGCTATAATGGCCGTGTACGGTCATGAAAATCAACAGGACAGAGATAGTTCTGGTTCGCGCATGCGCAGATTGTTTTTTTGCTCGTGTTACCCTCGTCTTTCCCTTCCGTCGTGTTTGCGAAAGTGTGCTACTGACATTTGAAGCACACTGTTTATGCTACCTCATTTTACCATGGTGTTCTTTTTGCAGCAGTGGACTCTATCATTTGTAAAATTCATACTTTTTTTGTTGATAGGGGATGGCATTCACTGCAGTTTCTAGTCTAGGCAAATTTATTTAAACAATGTAAAAGAATCCTGAAGTGTTTAATACAAACAAAGATCTATGAAAATTCTCATTCAATTTTTTAATTTTCAATGTTAACAGTTTTATCTAAAATCTTTCTGAAAAATTGCACAATTTTGGGACTTTCTGAACAGTACACACACACATGAAATTATACTTTATCTTGCACCCTTAGACAAGCAATAAATCTTGAAGATGAGAAGGATCTGATATTCTATGAAATAGCAGAGCAGGTTGCTGGAAGCTGTGACCTCAGGAAGATGGCCCTACGGCTAGGAGTCACAGAATCTCCGGTGGCACAAGTCGAACACGACAATCAGCAACTCGTAACACAATTTTACAAGGTTTTCCGGCTTTTTGACAAGAAAATGCTGAATCCAGAGGATATGATCAAGCGATTCCTAGAAGTACTGGTTAAAACTGATCAAGTATCTACTGCAGCCTGGCTACGGAAAAGTAAGCAGACAATTTTTAATTTTCCCTTTGCTTTCACTTTTCCATGTGCATGTATGTATTGCATGAATTGATGAAAGGATAGATGAAGAAAGTGGCTGTAGCGTAGCTACACGGGGGACTTGCACTTGCCCCCTCCCCCTCCCCCCCCCCCCCCCCCCCCCCCCCCCCCCCCCCCCCCCCCAATTACATGATGCCAAAAAGATGAAGAGAAAAATGGGGGACAAGGGAGCATGAAAAAGGAGATGATACAGTCAAACCTGCTTTAAAGACCACCTTTCTACAAAGACCACATTTTTTGTTTCCCTTGAAAATGGTTTCTCATTGAAACATGTACTAAAGGAAGCTGTGTACAAAGACCATCCCCTTCTCTTGTTACTTGACATCTTATCCCCTGACTAATCCCCAGTGTGTTGTGTTTAAAAAAAACTTCATTTAGGACTTGGAATTAGGGACCTGGAGGCATCATTAGAAGGTGGAGAGTCTAGTCCCGTCCCACATGTCATACCCCAGACAGAGACGACGGGACGAAAGAGCAATGATGAATTCTTTGATATCTTCCTTGTGCACACTGGCAAAAGCGAAAACACAAAAAAGTGAGTATTTCTAGGCAAATTTGTATGCTAATCATGTTTACCAAAATTAGTGTGTGGTAAGGACTGCAAACAAGGTTGGTCACAATCAAAGATTGAAGAAATATCCTATGGTGGTGGTTGTTATTTTACCTGACTGCTAAGAAAGCATAAATGCTTGTAAGTAAGCAACCAGCCGGCCGACGGCTTTAGGTCATAATGTATGAATTGAAAGGGCTAGTTTGCTCCTCTGTTCATTTATATTTTCAAGGCATGTTATAATTTGGATTTTCTACTTTTCAAGGAAGATGAAGATTTTTTTTTTTTTTTTTGGGGGGGGGGGGGTATGCTGAAAAACATGATACACTGGTATGGTGCTATAAAACCTTAGTGGAAAGACTTACTTTTAATGATCCCTTTTCATTACATAAATTATTTCCATGTCTGGTGTAGATTCCAGACAATCTGTGACCGGCACAAGTGGGTTGTGAAGTCCACCATGCCAGTGGGCACCCCAGTCCATCAAGAAATTGAGCGCATGCTAAACTCTTCAACCCATCTGGCCCTCATCATCACAGAGAGTGATTGCATCAGGTACAAAAACAGGGAAATGTCCATAACTGTCGAGATGGCTCTGCAATTAGCGTATAATGTAGGGGAGCTGGCCGGTTAAAGTCCTTCCTATACGCTGCTGCAACAAGAAGAGCTTACCTCTTGTCCTGCAAGCGTTGACCGGTGCTCACATCGATGAGGAGAGCTTCGAGGAGCGGCTGGTTGATACCATCGACACCGAGACCAGGTTAAGCAGGATGAGGAGAGAAACATAACTAGAAAACTAGACAGATCTATGGGAAATGTAGAAGTGTCAATATTTGATCATGTATATGATTAATTAGTAATGATCCCACAACCAGTGGAGATATAACTATGGCAGTTCATGGGGTTATTTCAATTTCAATTCCAATTCAATTTATTCAATCATTAAAACCATATAAAATACAAAAACAACAAACATTTTTTTTACAAACATAATGATATTTAATGCAAGTACAGCTTGATTTAAAAATGAGTTGGGACAAAAGAAAGATTGAAAATCTTGTAAATTTTATTTCTACTTTGAAAACAAATGAATTAAAAGTTACTTTCCCATCTAAAAGTCGAGGGAAAAATAATACAATACAACCACAATTGTCAAAAAAGATAGCTTAGACGGTACAACAGCAACAATGTCCTTTGGCAAGACATTGATCTACATTTGCCACACTCCACCCAGGTGAAGTAAATGGGTACCTGGTAGGAATTTATTCCTTGAAACGCAGCGCGCGTAACCGCTGCACTGCTAAAGCCAGGGTAATTATGCTGCATTATTGTAGAGCGCTTAGAGACTTAATTCTGACAAAGTAAGTGTTAGGCGCTATATATTAAAGCACAGTAATTATTATGAAAATTAAGTAAATAGAGAAAAGGGATGAAAAGAGCTAGGAAGTGCAAGAATGAGAGAGAGAGAAAGTGAGAGGGAGATATATGCAGAGAGTGAGCAAGAGAACATGGAAGAAAAAAGATGGGCAAGAGAATTTGATGAATCAAGATAATACATGTACATAAATTATTACATTCCTGAATCATATTCAAAAGGAATTTCTTGTACATATTTTTAAATGAGTTCCGTAATGGACTGAATTTCAATTGGGTTGGTAAGGAGTTACACAGCCTAGGTCCTGAGTAAAATGCAGACTTTTGCGATATATATATGTTCCAGCATAGGTCCGGGCACATGGAAGTAATAAGAATTATGTGTGGAATAAAATGAGTATCCATATTAAATATAACAAAATTGGTCAATACATCAGGTATGAGTTTTTTGTGGCAGGAATACATAAGCATAGCACGATATAATTTATACAATTAAAAAAATTCAAGATTTGCATCTGTGCAAAAGAAGACCTTGTTGGAGAATTAAATTGCACATGACTCTAAAAGAGCTTTTTTCTTTGATTCATGTAGTCTGTACATATTACAGTTGCTTGAAACTGCCCATGTAACATTACAATAAATGAAACAAGGATGTGTAAGTGTAAAGTATAAATTTCAAAGAATATTTGGTGGTAAAAAATATAATCTATCTAAAACTCCAATACATTGGAAACCTTAGAGCTAACTACATCAACATGTTCACACTGTGACAACTTATCAATTTTAGTAACATGTACCTGCTTTATTTCATTATCCTTCATAAATATTTTGACACTAGTAACATCAATATTACGTTTTGTAAAAATCATCATATTTTACTTCGACGTATTCAGAACAAGTCTATTAAGTTTAAACCATGCTTGTTCTTTAAGAATTTTGACATTCATTTCATCAACAAGAGTAAACACATTTTTATGAACCATTTATATAGTAGTATCATGAGCAAACAATTCAATTTATCAGAACCTATTCAGAAGTAAAGCGAATATCGTCAATACATAGCAAAAATAAAAGAGGAACGAGAATGGAGCCTTGGGGTACCCCATGCGAAATGGATTGATATTTAGAAGAGATTAAATTATAAACTGCAAACTGTTATCGATTGTGTTAATATTTTTAACCTAATTTTAAACATCTAAAATCATACATAGAAAATTTCCTTAACAGTAGTTCATGGTTCAAGCAGTCGAAAGCTTTGGATAAATCTTTAAAATAAACTGATTTCCTTGTTATCGAAGGCCTGAGAAATATTGTAGACAAACTGAATTTAAAGCAGGTGATGTTGAGCGTTTCACTACCAAAAACATTGTTATCATATTTTAATCAGTTATTAACATATTTATTTTTATTTTTACCTAATAATGAATTTCAAACCTTCCAATTTAATGACATATTACCTTGCAAATGTTTAAATTTGGAATCATAATACTGTCTTTTGGCATTCCTTATTGCACATGTAACACTATGATTTCTAACTTCGTTTTACTTTCATTTCTTTCAGTGGGTTTTATCAAGTACTTTTTATACAATTTTAATTTGTTGTTACTCATCTTTTGCAAGTCCTTATCTTGTTTGATAGTTCTACATCTCTTCAAGGCAAAATATATTAACTTTTAACCCTAAAAAGGCCGGGCTATTTGAGGTCTTAGTATGGCCGGGGGGGGGGGGGCCATTATGGCCCCCCCCCCTAAGATCTCGGCCGCGAAGCGACCGATTGCCGCGAAAATTTGCACGCATGTCAAGTGAAGTGTATAGAATAATATGACAATTTCAATTTTTTGAAAAATTCACTCATTTGCATATTTATGGTAATTTATGCAAATAAAGTCATAAAAATCACATTTTTACCCATAAATCATATATTATTCATACTTAAACATTCTTTTTCACTACATATATTCATTAGACCATTCTGAATGATAATACGACAAAAAAATTCGGAAGAGACAGCTTATTCCTTATGTTATCCCTTGTTTTGATAATTTCTTATGTATTTCATTGTTTTTTTAACTTATGTATTTTATTGTTTTTGTTTTTTTATTTCATTTCTTACTACAATTCAACTATTTTGACTCCCAAAACAACCACCTAAACTTTAAACAAGACCCAATAGCCCATGTTTGATCTGTTTTGGGGAAAAATGACTTTTCCATATGTTTTGTACACAAATCACGAAAATGAGCGATTTTTGGGCTGACATGCAAAGACAAAAGGTCACGTGACCTTGTAACCGTAGGTCCGATTTTCAAAAAAATATTTTGAAAGTTGCGCAAGACTCGAAAGAAAAAAGTCAGCGAGCGGCGGGGCGCCATCCATATGCGTTCCCGAGCAATCAGAAAAATCGTGGAGGGGGGGGGGGCCATAACGGCCTTATTAGGGTTAAAGTGTTTTATATGTGTCTTGTCTGCTGTGTTTTTAAAGGTAAATGTAGTAGTACCAAGAGACTGGTACATTGTATATCACTATTTTAGATACTGAAATATTTCACATTATAAATGTTTCATATACTATTTTGCTGATAATCATGTAAGAATATATGTTATGAAAATTTCTAAAGTACCATTTACATTTTGATTGAGATGGAAAACCATCAAGAATACTTAAATAAATATTTTGTAAATGAATTTCAAATGGAAGTCTGTTTTTCATTGCATGAAATTAGTTCTGAGTAAAGTACCATATATTCCTTTAATTTTTAGAATTCAGTAATTTTGAGGTCATGAGGAATTTTTCACTACCAATTATGATTTCGGAGATGGATCGCTTTGGACCAATCAAAGAAAAGTTTTGTTTTTTTTACAAGTTATTTTTGGAGGAGTCTCGCTCATCTATAATAAATAATGATGTAAACATTTGGGGGAGAAAGAGAGTAATATTGAGAGGGAAGTAAAGGATTGATTAGGACATACAGAGAGAGAGAGAGAGAGGAAAAAGGGGAAAGGGGAAGGGCAAAAGAGTAAAAGATCGAGGGATTGAGAAGACATTAGAGAGGATGAGAGATAGTGAGCAAGAGAGACAAGGAGAGAAGAGCAGAGGGGAAGAGAATGAGAGAGATCGAGTGCAAGATATATCATACAGAGCAACAAATAGGATATGCACTGTTCAGGTTCAATGGCAAATTAGTTACAATTTTTTTTTTTTTTGGGGGGGGATGGGGGTTTTAGGCAATAGTTTATACAGAAAATATGCAAAGTTAACTTTAATGATAATTATAATGATATTCGGCTTATATATAGCGCTTTATACATCAACGATGTGTCTAAGCACGTTACAGATATATTATTTTATACAACACCTACGTGGATCCTTGTCATTTGATTGGACGGTTGTTGATCACATGATATTCAATAGATGGTATATTGCACGGTCGTGCATTTTTGGTTATATGCGCCGTGCATTTTTGGTTATATGCAGACTGCGTACCTCTCTGCTGCATGTGCGCGTATCCCTGCGTGTATCTGACGCGAAGGCAATCTGCATGTAATCGAGAAGGCTGTTGATTAACGTTCTATTAGGTCTTCTTCGATGTTGTATAAAACAAATAATGAATGTTTTTCATTCGTTTAATAGTGCAAATATGTTCATTCGTTGAAAGATTAACGTTAATTCTATTCAACTCGGCTGACGCCTCGTTGAATAGAATGTTAATCTTTCAACTCATGAACATATTCGCACTATTGAACTCATAACCATTCATTATTTGTATAATATACCTGGACATCGGATTCAGGCTAGTACCCGCATACAATGTATACTCCTTGGGGAACATTCCAGTGATTTTTACAAGCGCACAATTGCTCATCTAACCACATTAACTTTGTAGTTAAGAGATGCAGTGAGATTAGAATTCGCAGGGGTAGAGTTTATATTTCAAGATACAATGTATGTAATGGTGTAGAGAATAATGCACTGAAAATAAAAAACAATTCAGTATTTAAAAAATAAAATACTACATTTTACATGTATTTCTACAATTGCTAGTGTCTATTTGAGGGGGGTGGGTGTAGACAGTTCTTACACATTATTTGAATTATATTTGATGCCTTTATCATCTTTATTTATCCTGTTACCTCTACCAAATACCAACTCATTCATTTTCATGTTTGTTCTTGTCCCAGTGATTTGTGCAGGGCGACTCATTGGCTTTTTGAAAATATTACCCACTTTTTGGACACCTTGAGTCTGATAAAAAAATCTTCAGAATTCAACATGCAAAAACCATTTTAAGCAATTCCTCCAAAATACACCAGCCATTTCCCCCAACTTTCCTGAAACCTCTTTTGTTTAGTTGGAAGAGAGCTTCTCTTTCACCATACACATCCATCATACCATATTCTTTCCAAGATGCCACTATTCATCTTATTGCCCATAACCTCAAACAGTTCAACTCTTGCTCATTTCATCAAGCACCATGATGCTCATTGAAAAGATATGTTGAAACCAAATATGGTCATGTCTAAAAAAAACAGTTCCTCTCTCTTTATTAACTTCATCAAAATGGAATTTTCACAATTTTGGATACAGTCACATTCACTACACTTCTCTTTCGGACAATTCTCGATCACGTTCACCATCATTCCTTCAAAAGCATATCCTTTAATTTGTTTTTTCAATACTTCCACAACATTCTTAATCCCATTCTACTGCAGTCAACCTGTTTCATCTCATGTCATCTCTGTAATTTTCTGCTTCAAAGAGGAATGGCGATGAAAAGGTTTGATTTGTCACATTTTATTGAAAAAATATTCCTTTACATTTCCAAATAATGCTAGTATTAAGTTTGTACAAAACATGCTCACTTAATGTTTGTCGTCAAGACATTAAATCTTAATTTGCCATCTTTGACACAGGTGTAGTAAATAAATGTCTGGCAGGAATAAATTCCTTGAATGCTGCATAATAATAAATAAGGTGTTGGGTCTCTAACAGGCACTAGGGACATAATTATATGAGCCCCCATACACACTCTAAGTTCAGGCCACATCTTTAAATTTGGACAGTAGGTTCATCCATACAGACACTTACAACATGCAGTCTGGACCCCATGCTAAACAAGTTGGGGTGATCGAGCCTTGTAATTGGGGTGCAAGATGAGCAACGTACACATATACACCATCATTTGTATCATTATAACCAAAATATGAAATGTGTGTCAAGTTGTCAACGGAGGTGAGTCTTACTCTGTCATCTCTAAGTGTTGAAAATTCCACTATAATAGCTTCTACAAACAAGACTGCACACTTCTTTCAGAATAACGTTAAAAAACAAAAAGCCCCTTTCAGATATGATGCGGCAAAACTGCAGCCCTTTTTTTTTTTAATGACGTAACTACATTTCACATTTCTGTATCTCTTTTAACACGGAGCTCATTAAATACATGCAGGACCTTTGTTGCGCCATTCATTTACACAATTAAAAAATGCAGTGTTTTTGCGGTGGTTTACCATGTCATATCTGGACGAGCCTTAAAAGGAGGAGTACTTGAATGTCACTTTGCCCACTACTACTTAAAAATATTGTCATAAAATTGAAAACATTTAAGAATTATATACCGGTATATATATATATAGTATGATAATGTTCTTTATAAAGAAATCAGTGAATAAGTATTGCAATCTAAAAAGCTAATAGTATTAAAAATGATTTGATTTACTACATTCACATATATCGGTAATGTTATTCCTTTTCACTCGTCCTGGAGAGTTGTAAAGTTATAAATGTAGAGGAAATAAAACATGGTATTGCAGAACTAAATTTTGTATTCTTTCATCAATATTCGACTTCAAACACATTCGTTTGCAGAGAGGTGTCTTAAATGACATCTTCCACATTATGATGCAATTTAAGTGAAATTTTGCCATCAAATCTTTGGGGCTCCCAACATTTTAGAGAGGCTTTAACTCCAAAGTGTGTTCACAACATGATTGAGAAACATTTATTTCACATAGGATGTACTAAAAGACTTACAACATCTAGATATTGCTTTGAAACATATATTTTGAGTTTTTCATACAATGAGAGAACCTTTTCCCATCTCTTTCTCTGTTATCTTTCCCTTATATAACATATGAATATATATATATATATATATATATATATTTCCACTCCTCCCCTCCCTCTCTCTTTATCTACCGGTATATATATATATATATATATCTGTATATATCTCGATCATTCTACTATCACTTTTCTATCTCCACTCTTTCCCTGTTGCTCTTAATCTCAATGTCTTTCTCATTTCTTGTATAGGCACACATACACCACTCTCCTTTCTCTCTCCTTGTGTACCGGGTACACGTTGTGTCATGAGCTGGATGATACACTACTCATCTCTCTCTCTCTCTCTCTCTCTCTCTCTCTCTTGTACACGTTGTGTCATGAGCTGGATGATACACTACTCATCTCCTCTCTCTCTCTTGTACACATTGTGTCATGAGCTGGATGATACACTACTCATCTCTCTCTCTCTCTCTCTCTCTCTCTCTCTCTCCCTCTCTCTCTCTCTCTCTCTCTCTTGTACACGTTGTGTCATGAGCTGGATGATACACTACTCATCTCTCTCTCTCTCTCTCTCTCTGTCTCTCTCCCTCTCTCTCTCTCTCTCTCTTGTACACGTTGTGTCATGAGCTGGATGATACACTACTCATCTTCTCTCTCTCTCTCTCTCTCTCTCTCTCTCTCTCTTGTACACGTTGTGTCATGAGCTGGATGATACACTACTCATCTCCTCTCTCTCTCTTGTACACATTGTGTCATGAGCTGGATGATACACTACTCATCTTTCTCTCTCTCTCTCTCTCTCTCTCTCTCCCTCTCTCTCTCTCTCTCTCTTGTACACGTTGTGTCATGAGCTGGATGATACACTACTCATCTCTCTCTCTCTCTCTCTCTTGTACACGTTGTGTCATGAGCTGGATGATACACTACTCATCTTCTCTCTCTCTCTCTCTCTTGTACACGTTGTGTCATGAGCTGGATGATACACTACTCATCTTCTCTCTCTCTCTCTCTCTCTCTCTCTCTCTCTCTCTCTCTCTTGTACACGTTGTGTCATGAGCTGGATGATACACTACTCATCTTCTCTCTCTCTCTCTCTCTTGTATACGTTGTGTCATGAGCTGGATGATACACTACTCATCTTCTCTCTCTCTCTCTCTCTCTTTTACACGTTGTGTCATGAGCTGGATGATACACTACTCATCTTCTCTCTCTCTCTCTCTCTCTCTCTCTCTTGTACACGTTGTGTCATGAGCTGGATGATACACTACTCATCTTCTCTCTCTCTCTTTCTCTCTCTCTCTCTCTCTCTCTTTTACACGTTGTGTCATGAGTTGGATGATACACCACTTGTCTTCTCTCTCATCTCCGCCATGTCCTCCTGGGCGGTCTGAAGCGCTAGGTGACAGTCAGGAAAGTCTGGTTTGATTGCAAGGGCATGCTGGAAATCAGAGATGCCTTCTTGGAAACGACCTAAAATCAGAGATTTAAGAGATGAACAGAGAGAGATGAATGGGGTAGAGTCAACGCCAAAATGAGAAAAGACAGAGTTAATAATACAGCTGACAGTCTGAAAACATGCTACACTACTTAATTTGGGGGGGGGGGGGGTTTGAAGTTCTATAAATTTGACTTTAAATGTTTAATGGTCATTTCTCAAAATAATAATAGGACATTTGAGGATGAGAAACATTTACTGAGGAAGAATTTGATGTTAAATGTCTGGGAGTAACTCTGAAGTCAGTAACTCTGAAATCATTGATGGTGAAAATTCTATCACTTTTCATTTACCACCTTAATGAGTAACAAACATGTATCCTAATGTCGGGTTATACAATTTTGTGATTTGCTTTCCACTATTCAAAACTTCAAATAAAAGCAAATCAATTCAGGTCATTCCCCTTAAAATGATTAGTTGCACAGGATTTCTTAGTTTTACAGATCCTCTAATAAACTTACACCTATAAAGTGTATACATATTTTGGTTTCATAACTTCCAAACTGCTCTATTGGAACACTTTGTAATCCCAAGAAGCTTGTCATCTACATCCAAAGAATGAGATTAAACAAAACGATTTTCTTCTTCCTCACTCAGGTTTTGTAATGTTATTATTAAATATACCTTTGACTTCCATTCAACATTTATTGACCATGCTCATGATACATGTATATGGAGTCATGCTGTCATGGGCTATACTATGAGATGCTTCTCCAATTTGGTCTTCGAGACACTTGATTTTTATTGATTTGAAATTATATTGCATAAGTATGATCAAAGTAAAATAATTTTAATAACGAGCAATTTCATTCAAAGGGAGAAAATTTATAAAAGTTTACTACTTGATACAGTAATGGTCTCTCAGTATAGCAGAAGGTTAAGTAACTTTGTTTACAATCTCACCTAGCCGGTAGTGAATTTGACCCCTGTTGTAGAAAGCAACAGCAAAGTCTGGTCTGTGTTGTAATGCTAATGTATAGTCCTCGATAGCTTCAGCAAAGTCTACCCTTTGGTATTTAATTTGACCTCGGTTATTCAGGGCTGTAGCAAGTTTCAGTGACCTATGCAAGAACAAAGCAAATGACGTAGAGGTGAAACAAAGTGTCGTTTATGAGTGGTTGTTCTCACTGTAAGTCAGGGTTCTCTCTGTACTTCTTTCACTGGTTAATGATTTGCTAGATACACATTTATTGATAGGGAACATGTTTTACACGACTTGATTCAGTGGCCTTTTTAAAAAAGGTTGAAAAAAGACGCTTGCGGGCAGCATCTTTTTTTAACGTAACCTAGTCATCTTACCGCTGAATTTGATTGGCTCAATAGGAACCTACGTTGTGCGCCATGTGCTAGTCATAAATATTCATGATACGCACGCACACAGAACCTGATGCCTTTATTTATCAAATATGAGATTTCATACAAAAATTACAAGTGCAAATTAGCTAGGTTTAATTAAAATAAATGACATTCGATTTGCGACAAAATCGGCAGGCTTACAGTTATCGTAAACGAATGACTACCCAGGTCGTATTTGTCCATAATCATTGCGACATAGTCTACTGGTTAGTCCAGAATCTGGCCGATCTAATTTATATCTCTACCACACCCTACCAACGCAAATATTCATATAGATCTAGGTCTAATCAAATATTAATAGACCTATGCAGCGCTAGGATGGCTAGGTTACATTTAAAAAAGATGCTTGCGGGCAGGGCTTAGATTAGACCGAATTTTCTGTCTCTTTCGTTCGTCAAGCCTCTTATTTGGGTAAAGAGAGCCGACCCTACCCAAACTAGACCGAATTTTTCTGTCTCTTTCGTTCGTTAGCCTCTGATTTGGGTAGGTCGGCTCTCTCTTTAGAGACAGAACAGCCCCATACGCTGTAGTGGCCGCGCGTTTGTACTAAGAAACGTTACACAAAACTTGGCCAAACTTAATCCCTAATTTTGATATTTTACCGGATGCGTATCCGATGCATTTAAAGTCCTAAATTAGCTAAATACTTAACTACTTCGGTTCCACTTACCAACTTGACTGGAATAATCCGTTTAATGGTCCATTTTTAGGAAATTATGGGTCAAGATCGACATCCATGAAGAAAATCTTGCAGCCGAGTCTCATTCTTTCTAGTCTACGCCGAAGGCAAAATGATTATAAGGGAAAAACTGTGCACGAGCTACGAGTTCGTAATGACATGCACAGTTTTTCCGTTATAATCATTTTGCCTTCGGCGTAGACTAGAAAGAATGAGACTCGGCTGCAAGATTTTCTTCATGGATGTCGATCTTGACCCATAATTTCCTAAAATGGACCATTAAACGGATTATTCCAGTCAAGTTGGTAAGTGGAACCGAAGTAGTTAAGTATTTAGCTAATTTAGGACTTTAAATGCATCGGATACGCATCCGGTAAAATATCAAAATTAGGGATTAAGTTTGGCCAAGTTTTGTGTAACGTTTCTTAGTACAAACGCGCGGCCACTACAGCGTATGGGGCTGTTCTGTCTCTAAAGAGAGAGCCGACCTACCCAAATTAGAGGCTAACGAACGAAAGAGACAGAAAAATTCGGTCTATACCCAAACTAGACCGAAAGCTTCAGTCTCTATAATCGTCGGTTGTTCCACTGAGACTACGTCTGGCTCCACTAGACCTCCGGTTATAGAGACTGAACGACTGCCTATGCCAGCCTGTGTTGAACTTATTCCGCTAGATTTTAGCCGCTAGGCCCCTCCCACAAACTTGCCACGGCCGTATTGTTATGCCCCCAAAATCCCCCAAAATGTCATTTTACCTCGTTCATTTCCAATTTTAAATTAGGCCTAGGCTATAATACATCGGTTCCACTTACTAACTTGATTGATATAATCCGTTTAATGGTCCCTTTTAAGGAAATTATCGGTCAAAATCGACATCCATGTTGAAAATCTTGCAAGCCGTGTTAAACTCTCGCTGCCGTCAATCTCATCCCTTCTAGTCTACGCCGAAGGCAAAATGATTATGAAGGAAAAACTGTGATAACGCCATTACGAACGTGTAGATGGCGCTCAATGTATTATAGCCTAGGCCTAATTTAAAATTGGAAATGAACGAGGTAAAATGACATTTTGGGGGATTTTGGGGGCATAACAATACGGCCGTGGCAAGTTTGTGGGAGGGGCCTAGCGGCTAAAATCTAGCGGAATAAGTTCAACACAGGCTGACATAGGCAGTCGTTCAGTCTCTATAACCGGAGGTCTAGTGGAGCCAGACGTAGTCTCAGTGGAACAACCGACGATTATAGAGACTGAAGCTTTCGGTCTAGGCCTAGATCTATACCCAAACTAGACAGCAATAACCATCTGATTTGGGTCATTTCTTTAATAAAACTGACATTTGTTGTCATAATCGGAGGTCTAGTGGAGCCAGACGTAGTCTCAGTGGAACAACCGACGATTAGAGAGACTGAAGCTTTCGGTCTAACCCAAACAAGAGGCTTAACGAACGAAATAGACGGAAAATTCGGTCTAGGCTTAGATATCAAACATCAATTTGTACATGTGGGACACATAATGAAATGAGGCTAACTTACAACTCCTTGTCTATACTTTCGGTCCCCGCTAAATGATGTAACGAGTGATCGATGAACCCTGAATATTTTATTTCAGCCATCTTGAAATCCCCAAGCGAAAAGGAACTGTCTGCTTCTACAATTGTATGATCAGTCATTTCGATGTTTACGTTTAATCAGAAACTGCTACAGTGCTAGCCTCTTTTGGCGTGTTATAAATCTAAGTATGGAAAGCGAAGTTGGAAAGAAGGAGAAGAAAAAATAAGAAGAGGTTGAAGAAGAAAAAAAGAAGAAGAAAAAAGAAGAAGAAGAAGAAAAAGAAGGGAAAAAGAAAAAGAAGAAAAAGTAGAAGAAAAAGGAGGAGGAGGTGGAGGATAAGAAGAAGAAAAAGGAGGAGAAGAAGATGTAAGAAGAAGAAGAAGAACGGAAGAAAAAGAAGAAGAAGAAAATGAAGAAGACGGTAGCAGGAGGAGGAAGAGGAGAAGAAGGAGGAGGATGAGGATATTAAAAACAAACAAAGAAATTCATAAAAAATTACTTCAGGATTAAAAACACAGGATCATTAACATTGTAAACTTTAATTTCAATTTACAAATATCACCGATATTATTTAACTCTTATTCATGTCATACTGTTCAAGTAGTACGTTACTCATATCGTCTTACGCCTTTTAATTAGGCTTACATAATGTGTAAACAAAAAAATGTGTGGGTCCTGGAAAAGACTTGACCATCAGAAGGGGAATCGTGGAAAGAAAACTAAACTATTTTGGGCACATTGTGAGGAGATCTGAAGGTGTTGAGAAGCAAATTAATACTGCAAGGAGTAGTCGGAAGGAAAACGGGGTAGAGGTCGTCCACCAATATCTTGGACTGATGATATCAAGAAAGTGTCTGGACAAGGAATGAAAGGTGCAACACAAATGACAGGTGAAAGAGTTGCCTGGCGTGCTCTCGTGAAGGCCACAGCAGTGCTTTACAGCACCACCTGAAGTTGATGATGACACAATGTGTGCAACTTGCTTGTTGAGATGGGTATTTATAATTTATTGGGTATTTCCAAAGGAACATGCATACGCGTACCCTAAATAACACTGAGTGGGGAAGGGGGCGGGGTCCATTGTTCCATGTTGTATGGAGATATAATATATAGAAAATTTCGCTACTTTAGCTTGTTTGTTTGTTTTTATTTCCGTCAGTATAAAAAGAATATACAAGTGAAAAGAAAATAGGAAAAAAATAACAACATTTATAAACTTATAGTTAACATATCTTAGAAAACCGCATGGCATTAAATAAAGGCAAAAACAACAAAAGCATAAAGCACGAAAGAATGTACAACAAAAAGACAAAATAAAACAGACGGCTGGATAGCACATTTTCAGCAGCACTAGCAGCACTAGCAGCACTAGCATTCAACTGGAAGTATCACACATAATACTATACAGTGCGTCTCAGAAAAAAACGAAACAGAAAATTGTCGATTTTAGTTTTATCTTAACTGAATCACAATTATAATTGATAAATTACACATTATTGTAGATCCTCCCGTTTCATATACATTGGCAAAATGTTATTCAATACAATCTGAGAATGTATGTTGCTATTATCTAGATCTATTATTTTTTAATTATTTTAAAAATAATTCCACAAATTGGGGTAAAACTAAAATATTCCAACTTTATGAGCGACAGTGTATGATGCATATTTCACGTGTGAGTGATTCAACTCAATTCAATTCATTTTATTCATTTCCATTTTCAATAAAAACCATACAAAGATATATTACAATGAAAAGCATTTGCAATATATAAGAAAAAGAAAATAGGGAACTAACAAATAAGGCCAAATGGCCTTATAGAGGCATAGTTCCCCGAACAGTAGTTAAGAGATTTACATATACAAAAAAAAAAACTTTAAAAAAAAGAAACATACAGGACAAAACATGACATGGACATCGTTCATGGCAGGTCATACAAATGGAAATAATCCGATTACAAAATCATAGGTTTGAAAACAGTTATAGGCAATGCTGTATAATATGAATATGGGTACAAGAATTAATGATATTTAGATATAAGATGCTGCTTCAATTTTCTTTTAAATAAGGTTAAACACTTGCATGAGGGTATTTCAGGAGGAAGAAAGGGCCCCAAAAAATCATTTGGCGAACGGTTTCTGAATTTTAAAGAGAAAATCACATTTATAGAAAGTTCATTTTCTGCCCTTTCATTTGACACCTCAATTAGGAAAAAAAATGAGTCAGGAATAAATAGTTCTGTTAGTTTAAAATGAAGGAGGAGGATACAAGCTTAACAAATATGTGTCATTTATTAATTATAGTTGTGATTAAGTTATGATAAAACATCAATAATTCTAGGTTTCGTTTTTTCTGGGACGCACTGTATTGTGAGGCCAAACTTGTAGCTAGCACATTTTGCTCGAGGCTTAGTGCACATAAAAGGTCATTATCTGGTACAAACACGTTTAAGCGAAACCACCTCTCAAAATCCAGGGTGTATACGCTAATTTTTGAAAAGCACTATCATATTGATTTGTTGGCGTTTATACACTATGAATATGACTGACAAAGAAAGCGTACAAAATATACAGTTCTTCCTCACGTAGACAAAGGAACATCCCTTCACTGCTATTATGTAAAAATGTGTAGAACAGGTGTCACATGCATATTCACCTGTTCTCACATTTTTACATAATAGCAGTTCCTTTATCTACCTGAGGAGCTGTATATTTTGTCCGCTTTCTTTGTCCGTCATATTCATAGTGATATCGAACCGACGATGACGTCATAATTGTCTTGCGTAATAGAAGAATGTCCTAGCGGTCTGCATGAGCAAAGATGTACGCTCTTGTAGACCTATTTACTTACTTATAGCAAACAATGGTGTGTGCTAACTGGAGGCTGCAACTAAAATACAGACAAACATTGAAGCCAACTTCCAGTACAGTCGATCACTTTACCAAACGGAATGCTGTATAACCGATCAGGCTCCTTGGATATATACTAGCATGATTCAATGCATGGACAGATCTGCAAGATTCGTTTAACAGTTTTTGAGGCTCATTACTTCTTTTAATGGTAAGTTTTTAATTAAATCATCTTAATTGACACATCGGAAGAAAGAAACACGTAAGGAAAATAAAAGAGAAATTATAAAAACGATTTTAAAAAAGGACAAAGTTATTATAATAACGGTGGATAAGAAAAAAATTAAAGGTGGGGAACGCGGAAGACAAAGATGAGAGAATTATGATGAATAAGATAATAGTATGAGATCAGAATTAAGGTGATGGCGAAACTTGATTAGGCCAATTAGGAAAAAGAATTGAAGAGAACGTACGGACTCTGATGAACCAGAAATAATATAAAGTAGAAGTATTACAAATATGTATATATAGTCATATTTTTATTAGTTTGTTTTCCTTATGTTGTTCGTAACTGATAAAAGAGAATGGAATGTTGTATCTTAATACTAAATTTTAAAAATGTAAAACATGGGATGGGAATGACGAACAGTCTCCCCTTGATCCATCTGATTCAGAATGATAACAAGTAGTCATAAACGACATCTCGATCAGTTTTTTTGTCATTTATTATTGTCATAATACTCTCCATAATCATGTAGATTGTAAGTAGGAACATAGGTTTTTCCTAAAGCTGTGCTCTCAAGGTCAAACGTGATAGATAAGATGACGTACATAAAGCATGAAAGATAACATCAGTATATTTGATTAAATGACTGCATAATAAAGTAAATACTCTATTAGTCAAGTCGAGACTAACCATGAACGTTGGATTTGAGGTCATTGTGCCTCTAACATCCTGGCTATTAATTAAGACTGTTTAAAAATTAAGAAAACATCAACAACAGTCAGAGTATATCCGGTGAAGGTTACGGTACAACGTTTGCTTGCCGTTCTTGACTTTAGATTGTCAAACAGATAAGATACGTAATAATGCAGAAGGACCGTTCATATTGATAAGAATTATGTTTTCACGAATACTTTGTTGTTTTATTGTCTAGACACTGGCGACTGGCCCAAAACTCAGCAACGGAAATGTAAAAAGAAACATACCGTTTATCTGCTTCATCTATTGATACTATACACGCTCCTAGCTATTTTTCGTTCTATCTCCTGTTTGTGCAACACCTGTAGGCTAGAGCTCGTACTTTTTAATATCAAGTTTGCAAGTACATGAAGGTTGGATGATTGCCGAAGCTTAGGTAAACGCTGAATTCAGTCATTTAATACTTTTTAAATTCTAATTTAAAAGGCCTGAATATGATGTTTCTCTTTGTACGAGATGTTGTGCTAACTTTGATTGTAAAATAGTACAAGAGTCTTGTAGACGGCCAAGTACTGATCAGTATAATTTCACAACAATTGATTTCACACAATCACACCTATTCAAATAATCATGTTTGGATTACGTAATACGTTATTATCATGTTCATACATTCAATAGGTAACGCAAAAGGCTATTTTCTTAGGTAAATAAATTCAGATTAAATAGTTAAAATGTAATAACATTTTCTAATTCTGTTTCTTAGTCTGACTCAAGAAGAACATTTTATTTCTTATGGTACAAACGCCCTTATTTTTCCGATATATCGACATAATTATCACAGATCTCGGTGTGAGTTCCGAACGTCGAGATGATGGCCGTTTGGATCACCATTCTCTTCTTAACGGGGATGATTTCGACGTCGTCTTCGTGGCCGGACTTCGATCTCCCCGATGACCTCCCAGACCGGATCCCCGATCGCCTTCCCGACTTCACGCTTCCACCAGACCTGTTCAAGAACATCAGTATCTCGGTCGCTTGTGACGCCGCCCTGGCCCGCATGTTCAGTGACAAGCGATCCTATGAAGCTACATTAGGTAATTAATCCCTTAATTCTCGTTTTACACGAAGCGTCATTTTACTGACGTAGGGTTGCGTCAACGAATGGCGCAGTCTTTGACGCACCGTGTGAGAGTGAAATTACACAGCAAGTTAATGCAGAACGTATGGTCCAACATCGCGTTGAATCACTGGCGGCGCAAGCATTAATTTCTTTAGCAGCGAAGTTATTAACGCAGTCCAAATGACGCATCGCGTGCAAATGACATTTTATATAATTACATTTAAAAGTGAATGGGCCTGTTTATTCATCTTTATATCACCAATATACATAGGAATCTCACCTCAAGTCGATATTATTTTCGATAGGAAAATACATATCAAAGAAGAATAATAAGTTAGACAAAACCTTTTTTTTTCATTATTTTTTCTTTTAATACACGTATTTAATGATTCATTTTATTCAATTTTTGCATTGAAAATTTGTGTCTGTTGCTGTCAGCAATCAGTTATTGTCTGCTTTGCTTCAAGAAGTCCCCTTAAATTAATTTCGTTTTCTTTTTTCTTTTCTTCTATGGTGTATAGCATTGGATGCTTGCGGCAAGCCTGAGCCTGGGTTCTTGGTGGGCAACCTAGCTTGGCTGGGTCACTGGCCCGAATGTAAGAGTCTCGAAGACTTCCATTTCTGCACCACCGTTCTCAGACTAAACATGTCAACTGGGGTGAGTAACCCATCCTTTCATGTTTGTCCTTTAGGCGTCGCTATACGATTTTAAATGGAGGGGTGTCTGTCCGAATTTTTAGTTAGCAGGAGTGTTTTTAGATCAAAAAAAGAAAAGTAAGGGGGGGCATCGATTTTTACGATTTTCCAACAAGTTTATGGCAATTCCAATTTTGCGCCAACAATTTTTAAGGGGGTGTCTTACCCCAACGCTTCCGAGGCCCATTTTGACTAGGTTGTCGTAAGTAGGAATGGGGGGGGGGGGGGTGAGGGCGGTCGAAAGTGGTAGTGTCGAGATAAGATTCATCCTCTGCGATGCAGAATGTTGTAGACTATTCATTTCCCCCTCCTTCTTTGAGAAATAATAGCGTTAATTCAATATTCGGGGGAAATTATTTGATAATGCTTTCTACCCATTTATTATCTGTTTTGCAATATCATAATACAATCTTCAGATCGCTGTCTCAAACAGTACTTGTGATGCCATCGACCTTTAAATCTCGAAATCATTATACGGTCAACCACTAACTATCCAGGTAAAAATGACGATTATTTTTGGTGGTGCATGAGTAGACAATAATACATATTTACAGATGTGAATAATTCACTGTAAATCAATGTTTTCGCGGAAAAGTGACAATTGTTTTCTTACGCTACCAACGTAAGGAGTTTAATATTTAATAATAAATGTCACATCTGTATGACTCTTCATTCTATAATTTCCATATAATATCAATATCCCTCATTTTTTAAAAATCTAAATCTCTCTCTCCCCCTCTTTCATGATCATCTCTCTCTTTCTGTCTGTCTGTCTCTCTCTCTCACTTTCATCTCTCTCTGTCTCTCTCTGTCTGTCTCTCTCTCTCTCTCTCTCTCTCTCTATCTTTTCTCTTCCTTTCTCTCTCCTCTATTTGTTTCTCTCCCCTCATTATTGTTATCATCATTATCATTATATATCCCTCTCTCTCTCTGTCTCTTCCTCTCTCTCATTATTCCACATACTGTATACATGTAGATCATACCACCCTTGATGAAATGGGGCCTCTGTCTACCCAGTGAATGCGGAGAGACGGATGTTGCTAATTCTATGACTGAAATCATTAGTAAGTTGTAATCTTGTTTAGGTCCATTGTGGTATTATGACTTTAAATGAGTTACCCTGCGCGATTACCCATTTTTTGTTTGTTAATTATATGCGACATTTCGTGCATTGTTTTTTCATTCTTTTTCTTGTCTTTATCATAAATTAGCCCCGTCAATAAATAGTTTGGTTTCGCTTTATTTCTCGCTTAAAACCAAACAGATAATTATAAATTTGAACAAAGATTATGCAGAATCAAAATGACGACTGGGTATCTCTTATATCTCCAAAGACATTATTATAACGGCTTTGTTTTGTTTCATAGCAGACCTTAAAGTGTAAGGGTTCTTTCTACAAAACACAAAACAAAACTTAATACATACAAAACATGATTTTTAAACGTTGATATGTATTAATTTTATGAGTTCTTTAATCACAGCTGCAATCATTTAATAGAATATGCTTTCGTAATAATTTCGTGGAATTTCAATGAAAGTATATTGAAATTTATAAAATGTGTTGCCTTACAACCATGCATGTACACTCAACTTACTTATATCTGTGTATTCCTATTCAAGGCGGAATTGTAATGTAGTAACAGAACTAAGTCATAACACCTATTGATTATCTCTTCATGTTGGTTTAAAGCTTAACCACCTTGCATCCTATTGGCCCGAATTCACAAAGCAAGGTTTGAGCTCAGACCAAGGTTTGAGCTCAAACCTCCTTTTGTTTCGCCAAACCTGGTTTGTAAATAACAAAAGGAGGTTTGGCGAAACAAAAGGAGGTTTGAGCTCAAACCTTGGTCTGAGCTCAAACCTTGCTTTGTGAATTCGGGCCATTATGTTTGATTTGCCATTTCAGGGACAAAAACAAGATATTGTGTAAAGGAATCAAGGATCATTCGGGTGGGGGTATAGTTATTGAGCCAATTTATATGAAGTAGTTCTACGTGATAATCATACCAGCATTCATTTTGGGGGGTTAATGTTTGGAAAAGAGAAAAAAATGATCGCATAGATTTTCGAAAAACAAGCCTTAAGCGATTCCAATAACCCCGCCCATTACCTTCCGGAACATGGAAACATTATACACTAACTTATTCATGAACATGATTTATGTAATAGTAATAATAAATAATAATAATAACATGTCTTATTCACCCATGCAGGGTGGTCTCATCAGTATTGATTCATCTCTTCTTCTTTTTTTAAAAATCTTGATATCTTTTTAAAAATCTTTTCAAAAGACACCATGTTTCTAGAATTTCACTAAACCAGTTTGACACTTCAATGTTTAAATATTTAATATCAAAATTACAATAAAAAATATATTCTCCGCCAACTTGTGTCATCAGTATTTATACTGTTCTACGTGAGGGCCCTGCAGTCATATCATTATAATGGGATGTACATTAGTGTTTTGACAATGTCCCTGCAGGATTGTGCTATCGTTCTTCAGGTCATATTTGTCCAACTTTAGTACAGGTTTTATTTTTTCTTATTTTTTCGTCACGCAGATCGATTAGAGTATGATGAATTGAACACTCTGAATCCGGAAGTAAGAAAAGTCCAATGTGCGACATTTCCAGCGCGTCCATATGATGCTGGATTCTACTGCACGGTGTAAGTACTGAATATAATGATACAGATATATTCACGTATGTGCGTCTCAGGGTTGGGGGCCGGAGGTTGAGGGAGGGGGGAGGAGGGGGTCACACACCATTCGAAAGTTTTATCCGGAAATCCATAACTGTTTGTATTATTTCCATGTCGGTAAACCAAGTGGTCTTTTGTTGTTGTTTTTATTTTGAATAATAAGATAATGATTCAAAAGCATCATTTCACTTACCAGGGACGAAGGAGGGGGGGGGGGGGGTCATGATATTAATTATGGAGTTTATTTTTATCATGACAGATTTTATATTGACTTATGAAGACTAGTCTAGTTTGAACTCCTTCTTGATGATGTATGGTGTGATCCGTGACGTCAAGTCAAACAGCAAATCAACCTTGAAGAAGTTAAGGAAAGGAATATTCACAATACAAGGGGCAGAGGGACTGCATTCATGTTTCCAAAATCTCCGGTAAAGGGGTACTTTTCAGGCAACAAAGTCCGGCTCGTAATACACACAAAATCGGCCCGTACTAACACCGGACTAAATTGGGGTGCTTTCAAAGGAAGGGAACATGCATACGCGTACCCTAAATAACACTGAGTGGGAGGGGGGTGCCATGATACCCCCTTAATAAATCCCCTAGTGAGTAACGGTATAGGCCTACTAATTGGAAATTATTCCAAGTGATTGATCCAATATTTATTGGTCTTATCTATAAATAAGAAGGTAATTATTAATTTCTTATCCGTACACGAAGGATCCTGTGTTGCGTGACTGCCTTGCTGATGATAACTGGAGCTCTGTTCGAGGTCCATCTAGACAGACAGAAGAAGAAGAAAGAAGATACCCTCGAAGATTCCGAAGCCCTATTATTGCTGCGTCACGACAGCAAACAAAACGGCTACGGGGCGTCTAAAATACCGGGGAAGCAACAAAAGGAAGGTATATACTCGTATTGTTTGGAGTATATTGTGCGTGGATTATGAAAGTAAGGGAAGGGACACAAGCAAGTGACGTAGGGAGTGAACAAACAAGGGGAGAAAATAATGTTTGTCTGTGTGTACGCGTGGGTGTGTGCGAGAGGGAGAGGAAGCGAGAAAGAGAGAGAGAGAGAGAGAGAGAGAGAGAGGGGGGAGAGAGAGGGAGAGAGGGGGGGGGGAGAAAGAGAATGGCAGACAGACAAACAGACTTAGAACCTGTCCTTACTTAGAGAAAACGAAAATGAACAAAAAGTATATTTTCATGGATTGCCACATGGTGGAATATAATTTATTTTCCCATTTTGCAACAAACTTATGGTACCTGTCGAACAACATAGAGGAAGATTCATTTTATATAGTAAACTGATGATCACGTCACACATGACGGGGGAGGGGGGGGGGTGAATGGGATTCGAACTCTAAATAATCTGGTGATGACTCAGCTATAGTAACAGATGAGTACTGGTCTTGTCATTGCATTGTTAAAGAAGATGTCTTGAAGTACAAATGGGAAATGTTGATGACAAATATATGTGAACGGTAATGTTTGCAAGTTGGTAACTAAAATAAAAGCGCACTCCACACACATGTTAGGGTATAGTAATCGGTATGTGAATAGGCCTACACACATTATGCGGAATAAAAACGTCGCCCGAAGTTTTGATCTTTTTGTAATAATTAAGATGGCATATTACAGGAGCAATCCATTTTATCTGACATTGCAACTATGATATTCTTCCACTTCCATTTTAACAAGTTTAAAAAATCGATGAGAAAGCTCTCAAAACTGCTTTTCCCGTAACGAGAACGCAAACCTCTTCTTTTTACAGGATCCAAGATTCAAGATTTATTTTCTTCAATGCTCGCAACCTTTACGGTTGAATTGTTCCTGAATTTGCATATTTTAAAAACATGTACAAATTACATAAAGAGGAAACAAACACAGATCCAAGTAAAATACACTTCAGGAAAAAGGTGTAAACAAATTGCAAATTTATAATGACATTAGAATTTAACCTAGAAATCTTGAAAGGGGAAACCATTAACAATAGAAGTTAATCTAGAAATCTTAAAGCGGGAAACCATTGACAATATGAATTAATCTAGAAATGGAAAACCATTTACATTTGAAGCCCCACTGCACTACGTACTTGCGCCCTCATACAGCCAACAATGCCTAAGAGGTACCCTAATTTATGAGAAAACCACCTGTCAGTGACCTTGCAGGGAGGTCTAATCCCTCCATGCTAAACTAGTGCAGAGGTGCTTTAAGATGGGAATTTAAAAAAATGAGAAGGCTCGTAAATGATTTTTACCTTTACCCAAACTCACCCATCTCTTTTTACATTTCAGATCGCGAGGGATGTTGCGCGCGATTCCTCCTCTGCTTCTCCTTTACCCGTAACCTGAAGCAGATCCTCAAGACAGATACCAAAGGTGGCAACATGCTGTGCTTGAATGGCATCCGGGTTATAAGCATGACCTGGGTCATCTTAGGTCACACCCTCATGCTCGTTTACCAAGTCTTCGGAGCGACTTGTAAGTTTTCTTTCATGAATGCTCAACATGAAACTTATCTGGAAAACGCTATCTTAAAAAATAACTAGAACTTATAACTGTGACCTTTTCTTTCTGAAACTATCAATTGTAGGGCTGTCAAGAAGGTAATTTCATTTATTATCGTGAATAGATTTAATGAAATTATTTGGTTAATTCACATATCATGTTTAAATGTATTCGATACCCCCCCCCCCCCACCTCTCTCTCTCTTTCTCTCTCTCTCTCTCTCTCTCTCTCTCTCTCTCTCTCTTTATAAATATATATACATATCATTATACCTTCGCTCCTTCAAAATGTTTTCCCCCCTATATCCTGTTTTTATTTATCTTAACATCGCGCTATTTAGTCTCATTTTCATATCGTAACCATTTGGGCTTTGCTTTGCCTGTTCTTCCGTATCCCTAAGTGTCCCTTAAAGGTAGCTTATCCCTTTTGCAGCCATCATCAAATTCTGTAGAACTTTGCAGGAATTAGGAATATGTCACGTATGTCCTATCTGTGAAATTTAAATGTTAGCAGTGTCCTATTATTCAAATTATGCAAGGAAACCCGTTTACTTTCTAGACTTCACTGTCAGACACTAAATTGAGTGACTGACTGACTTTTTTTCGTTGGTAATAACTTAATAGCATAAGCTGTAAAGGGTACATGGCCATTTAAATCAATAGCACACTTCTTGTAATGCCCAAAATTAAACTGATTGAATCTTTGCGCAGCACAAAACGTACGACCATTCGGTACATGGGTCTGAAAATCAAACTATTTATTAAAAGGACTGCAATCCCTAAATTCGATTCGACAACTAACGGTCGGTATTTTCCCACAGAAAGACATTATCAAGCCCTTTCGTTGCGCTTTATAAATATTGTTATTATTATTATTTATCTTTCCATTGCAGTTGGAAATTTACCTTTTCATTTTTTTTTTGCCTGGAAAGGGGACATAGTACCTTTAAGATATGTTTTTTTGTTTAAACCCAAAACTTTTCTTGTTCATGAAAAAATAAATCTAAGTTCTTGATTCATGAAACTTTAAGATATATTCATCCTTATGACTCAAATCTTGTACACAATCTGGGAACGTGAAACAACGAAAAGTTTGAAAGCTATGTCAGTTTTCCAGTGTATTGTACTATCATAATTATATTATTTTCATTTTTCGATAGGGGACGGTATATTTGGACTAGATTTTCTAAAGTCATTTCCCGCGCAGGCAATCTTGAATGCTTTTCCATCTGTCGATTCATTCTTTGTTCTCAGGTAAGACCCCGAACTTCTAAACATTTTTTTGTTTTACTCTTACTACAGATATTTTCAGTCAGAACATTCTTTTCCGGATAGAAAAAGATTGTGATTGATTGAAAATGTGTCGCGCATAATGTTTATTTGTTCCCTTTGTTAGCTGTTTCAGTCATAGTGTGAAAGCATTAAGATGCACTACTTGGCGAGGAAAGTTACTTTTCTTTCAACTAAAGTTTTTATTCTTTTTTTCTCAAATCATAAACAATATAAGCTACAAAATGAAGGACTTTATGTTTGACAAAGAAAGGTAGAATAAAAAACAAGATGCTAGCATTTAGGGTCGTTAGCCTAAACAATTTCTGCAGGACGTATGCATCAGAAATATTGATGTAAAAATAGTTTTTGAGAAAATGGGATTGACAGAAGAGAAGAATGAGAAGAAAAAAATTGTTATCTGAAAGGCTTAATCATCTCAAATGTGTTTGCAGTCACTCACTTCTAAACCAATAAGTATACATTATTGTCAGCATTGGATGAATTATCGGTGACGAATAAGTGTTAACTATACGTCGTATACATTGAAGTGCACTGAAAGAATACTAAACAATATTTGAATATTCTTTGTTTTCATCAGCGGCTTGTTGTTGACGTACATCACCCTGGGTCGTATGTCACGATCTGATGGTCGAATACCGTGGGCAATGTTCTACTTCCATCGGTACTGGAGGTGAGTATCATTATACGAAGTCGTGGATGGTGACGATCGTCGGTTTCGTCGATGTCGACGGAAAATCTTTATCTCCAAATATATCCTGGTACCTTTTTTTTTGGGGGGGGGGGGGTTAAGATTGACGGCTAATTATTTACACTGAAGAACTTGAGATGTATGCCTATTGTTAGAAGATTCTGTTATTTTACTTTTATATTAGGCGTATTCATAATTTCATATACCATTTTGCGATGTTTTATTTATTGGTCTTCTCTCTATACTCACTTCCCCCTCTCTCTTTATATATCCTTTTCTCTCTCATTCTCTCTCTCTCTCTCTTTCCTTCTTTATTTCTCTCTCCTCCTTTCATTCTTTCTCTCTCTCTCTCTCTTTCTCTCTCTTTCTCTCTCTCTCTCTCTCTCTCTCTCTCCCTCTTTCCCACTCCCTTCCCTCCTCAGTCATTCTCTCTCTCTGCCTCTGCTCTAAAGTGCTATAATTGCTCGCGTGATTTGTTCCTGCCCTATATAATATATAGATTACTACCCGGTCTTGGGGCCGCCATGTTGTTCGCCCTCTACCTCCGTCCGTACATGGGAGAGGGACCCCTGTGGGCAAACAGCGCCCACTACACCTTCAACTGTGACAAATACTGGTGGACCAACCTACTCTACATCAACAATTTCTATCCGAAAAGCGTACCAGAAGGGGTAAGAAAAAATCTTGTTGTAAAAAGAAGAAAACGTTTTACGGTTGAAATTTAAAAATATACCGTTATCGGTTTGTATGGATGTGTATTAGTGCGGGAAATTCGGCTGAAAATTAAATTACTAGATCGCAAAGACTTTCGAGATATCAACTGATATGCAGTACAATACTTTTATTGTACATCGGAGTGTTGGCTCAGTCAGTAGAGCGTCCGTCTCACAACCGGGAGGTCGTGGGTTCGAACTCCGGCCGCATCATACCAAAAGACGTTAAAAGATGGGAGTTGTTGCTACCTTGTTTGGCGTTCAACAATAAGGGATAGAGCAACGTCGATCTGGCGCTGCTCAGTGGCTGCCGGGGCTCACGATCAATTGGACAAAAGAATTTCCGTTTCGGTGTAATAAAATTTGGAGTGGACTATTATTATTATTATCCTTATTACTACATCTAATTCTAAATCATGTTCAGATTACATAATACATCTGTAATGTTCGCATCAATCAGTAGCTAGGTGATGGATAGGGCGATGGAAATTACCTCTAAAAATTTAGGATGTTTATGTGATGTTTATGCAGTCGTGTTATATTTAGCGTATGGCATAATTATTAAAATTATCTGATTTTTTAGGAGATAGTGTACATATTATTATTATTATTTACTTACAGTAGGAGTAGGATCATCGCCATTTTCTAGTATATATAAGAAAGGTCATACTCACAAATATCGTTGTTTGTTGAAGCTTTAAAAGAAACAGAGAAAATACATTGTTTAAAATAGAAGCTGATAACTTAGCTTAAGATGTATTTTACTGAAAACAAAACTGACAATTTTTGTTTACTACTAATGTATTCAATTTCTCGTAACATCAGTGACTAACATTATCTTCTTTTAATCGAATTAAACCCACTTTACATAAATTGTACCACGCATAAAGACACACTTTGAAATATCATACGCGTTATTACAAATGGCTTAGATTGATTTTATACTACAATGATTGTAATTTTATTGTACTGCATCCTTTGACAAGTGTAAACGTTTCTCATTTGACCAACAGTGTATTTACTGGGTGTGGTATTTGGCTAATGACATGCAATTCTACATCATCAGTCCCATCTTTCTCGTATCATTGTTCAGGTTAGTACGTGTATCATGGCTGTTGTTGGTGGTGGTAGTTGGTAGTTGTAGTTATCAGTAAAGAAAACTGAAAATAACAAATTGTAATAATATCATTAATTCACCAGTAACGCAATTTATTAGGAGTCTCGTGATGGTTTACAACTTCGTAGTTCTGTTGTATCATGGCACCAAACCCATGCCTGTTATATAAAGAGTTGCGATTGATCCAAATTGGTCGCACTCCCCAACGATTGCAAACATACACTATACTTACTCTATAGTGAGGCGTAGTGGCGCAGTGGTAGAGCAGCAGTGGTCCCGTAACGGAGAGGTCCATAGATAAGTAGATTGCTAAAAATGGTTTATTAAAAAAGATCATCGAAAATTACTCCATACGACTATGATATCAACTTTTAGTTGCAATCTAATCGAATTGATTTGATACTTGCATGGATATTGATTAACATCAATAAGAAATAAATTATTCATACCCTCACAAATTTTTCTAATTGTTTAAGTATGTGAAAATTGATTTGTCTTGATTTATGTTTTTTGAGAATGTGACGTATCTTAGCTTCAATACATAATTATTCAACAAAGGCCCAAACTCAACCAGCCCATCTTTTATTCTTGAGTTATGAAAATCACAAAGAACGTCAAATTTAAAGCTGTTAGCTGTAGTTGAAACAACAAGATTTGAATATATTTATGCATAATCTATAAAACTAACTTTAAAAAATTGTTATTTTATTTTTAAGGATAATTGATATTTCTGTTTTTGCAGGAAACCTGTAGTTGGAATGATCATCATCGCGGGTCTGTGTATAGCGAGTTTCGCAACAACTATTGGACTAATGGTCGTCAACGACTTCAAAGTCGCTCTCATGTAAGAAATACAATTCCATAGTCCTCGGAATATTTGTAGAGTAATATCTTAAGAAAAAATTATGTATTTATTGATCTGAAATCAAATTAAAAAAAGTTGAGTCTCTAATCAATAAACCGGTGCTTTTGAAAACTGAATATTCCAAGCCTTTGAGTCAAGAAAAGGCAAACGTGCAATTTTAGCGATTTTCTCTTGCGACGCTCCCCTTTTCGTTTTGCTCCTCAAAGCATATATAGGAAAACAGTATTCCTCTCAATGTAATGAGTAATATTTTAAGAAAATTATAGTGTGATCTGAAATCAAATAGTGAAGTCGATCCTCACTCAATAACCCGTTGCTTTTGAAAACTGCAAGTTCAAAGCCTTTGAGTCAAGAACCAAGCAAAAGTGATTTGTTTTGTCTTGCTCCTCAAAGCTTAGAAAAACAGTATTCTTTTATCACCTTGCTTTGTATATACTCTCTGCGCCCTGAAGATTTTTTTCCTGTAGAAATAGATGTTATAATATTCATGTATTGCTTTGCAATGTGATCGGAGCTCCCATGCATGGGGTACAGCTACACCATGCATTAATTCCCTCATTCTTGGGATCATACCTTAAAAAGTGGATTCTCAACACGGCGATTTTTTAATTGATTGAGAGAGTATTATAGCTCTCATTTTTTTCTTCCAATATCTAAACTATTTTTTTTTAAAGTTAACAGTATGCCATGCATTATTTCACGTTTACATCAATGTATTTGATAACAGAGTAATACATACATAATGAGCTAGTAATACAAATAAATACAAAGAAATGAAAGAAAAGGGTGTCCCGAAAAAAGCCCAAAGGGCTTGATAGGAGAAGATCACCAGAGCAACAAAAACAACAACAACAAAAAGATATATATATATATATATATATATATATATATAATATAAAAGAATAGTTATATATTCAAATGAATCATGCTAACGACACAGAGAGTACCGGAGTGTGAAGCCCCACCGGTCTCATGCCAAAAATCCTCTGATCCCAAACAGGTTTCAAAGTTTATTGAACTGTAATCGGACTTCCTCGTTTTTATTCTTCTCGTTTCGTTCTTCTTACGTTTCCTGAAGGGGTTTTGGAATGAGTGATCACAATGGAAAAGATATAATCTCCACGGTCTACGACAAACCGTATTGCCGTATAACACCATACTTGGTGGGCATCGTCCTAGGATACGCATTTCACTCATGGAGAGGGAAAAGAATTCGAATCAATAAGGTAATATAGCATCGAAATACATCGTAATTTTCCATTAGCATTCGTTATTTTTAAATCTATATCATCTGTGATTATTCTTTCTTTTATATTTCTTTGTTAGAGGGGTAGTCCATGACAAGTCTTCTTTTTTTTTTTACTACCCTCTCCGTATTTGCTTTTGTTATTTTATTTTCATATATGGTTTATCCATGTATTATCGGCATTTGTGGAAATAAAATTTAATTGAATTGAAAGATTTTTTTCATCGGGGCACCTCTTTCTTTAAGAATGTGTTAGTTTCTTTTTCATATTGATTATCATATGAATCCGAGTACTACGGGAATTATACACCAACGTACTACGTATTTTATTAGTGATCAGAATTCTACTGAGACATTTTAGTTTAATTCAATACACGAGAGAAAGAAGAGCCCAAGTACTTCGAAAGAACTTTTGATTTTATCAAGAGAAAACAAAATCTTCATTCATTTTCTTTCACGGACGGACGGCAGATTTTGTTCATTTGGAAGGACTATACCGAGGGGGGTAGATTTTGATCCATCTTTCACACATGAAAGAGAACTTTCTAAGAGAAACAAAGCTGCTGGCCTTGGTCTAACTCACTTAGGCCAAAATACGAGACTTGTTCCTTTTTCCACTCATAAACTCGCTGTTATGCTCAAACAGACTGAATTTGTAGACAATTTTAAACGTCTTTTGCAAAAATTACTGGATTAACCAATGATTTTGAAAATGGGGTCCTTGAAACATTTGTTAAAACACGTTTCAAATTTATCAAAATATAGATGAATAAATGAATAAATAATCAATATATTGATAAATAGATAGATAGCTAAATAAATAAATGAATGAATGAATAAATAAATAAATAGGTAAATAAATAAATAGATGAATCTATTCATGAAACAGATGAAATGGAATTGTTTGGAGTCTACAAGATGCGAATTTCATGCAATAGATATCACAGGCAATAATTTATTACCAAGATTAACAACTTACTTCTTAGATGTAATTCCTAAATGACATTTCACATCATTTTATGCAGATTGCGGTAGTTGTTGGATGGGCGAGTGCTTTAACTACGGGCTTGGCAGTGGTGTACGGTCTGTACGGCGAGTTTAATGGTAGTCCTCTTAGTACAGCTGAGAATGCTATCTACATGGCGTTCTCTCACTTCGCTTGGGCTATCGCGTTATCATGGGTCATCTTTGCATGTCACTATGGTTACGGAGGTGAGAATTAATAATTATGGTCAAGATCTGAAGATGGTGGAACTAAAATGTGACCAGGCTCCACCAAATCGCCAAAAAGTACCCGGAATTTATTCCATAGTTGAGGTCTGATTCTGAAAGAGGAGATTCTCAGCTTCAGAATGATGTATCATTTTGTCACAATTTGAAGATTCTAACCAATTTTATTATTAATAAAAGAAGAATATACAGTCCTAAAGAATGTTCAATGTTCAAAATGAATTCACATTCTACAATGTACTAAGTGTTCCGTCTGTTCTGTTCTGTCGTCATCAAATCTTCCACCCGAAAGTGTCATGGTAGCATTGTCAGCCACCCCCCCCCCCCCCACCCCTCACTGAGGTCACGCTAGCGATATTAATGGCTGGTTTGCAGTTTAATGATAATGATATCTGATTTAGATGATCCTCTTATTAATTCCGACAGGATGGATTAATGATTTCCTATCTTGGAAGGCTTGGATACCCCTCTGCAGATTAACGTACGGTGCCTACCTCTTCCATCCGCTGATCATGCATATCTTCGTCGGCAACACGGCTCACGCCTATTCCCTCAATGCAGTCTACATAGTAAGTTAGACCAATCGAGATGATGATGTTGGTGGTGCCGGTGGTGATGATGATGTTGGTGGTGCTGGTGGTGTTGATGATGGTGCTGGTGATTATTGTGGTGATGAATATGGTGATTGAAGCGCTAGTTGTGGTGATGATGGCGGTGGTGGTGATTGTAGCAGGGGTGGTTGTTGTGGCAGTGGCGGATCCAGGGGGGGGGGGGCCGGCCCCTAGACAAAATATGTATTTTTACATTTATTACAAAATAGTGCTCACTACCCATATACATATTGTGACGGTAAAGGTGGTAGTGGTTGTTCATAATAATGTTTGCTATGTTGACGATGTGGCAATAATAATGGTCTAGGAAATCTAGCAATAACAATGATCAGAATACCCCTCAAAAATGTTTCCTGTTTTTTCCCTCCAACTTAGGCGTACTACTTCACATCAGGTTGCGTGTTCAGCTATCTAGTCTCGCTACTCGTCTCCCTGGGTTTCGAGTTACCTCTGGCCAATTTGGAAGGCTTCATCATGTAGATACCTCTAAGAAAAATACATCTTAAGAAAGTATTTTGCTATAACGCTTCAGTCAACCTGACAAGAACGGTACCAGACTGACAGTCTGATCCTTGAATTGGCAAGTCATAGGTCAGTTAAAGGTAAAGACCAGTATTGAAAACGCCCCAATTTCAAAAAATGAAATGGAAGCTCTTATTACCAATCATGTGAAAGAATATGTTTGACTAATACATGATGATAAAAATGTTGCCGGGAAACCGCCTACTAATTGATATATTTGGTAAATTAGTTTATCTACATGGTCTGTGAGAGATAAACGCATGTGTCGCGCACGTGTGCGTATAGTCCCATATACATCTTTCTGTGTACAGTGCTTGTAACTTAACGAAGACTGGGCCATATCTCTTATCATTTTGATGATTCCAGAACCTTGCAGTACACACCAATACTTATATGCTAGATGATCAACCTTTTCTGATCGATTCCACAACGTTTCTTTCACAATGCAATCGCATGACCATAACTGGTCTTTACCTTTATATTAAGAGTCGTTTTGGAGTCGTTTTGGCGGATTGGCTGATACCTTAGTCAGTACAGTCACATCGCCAAATTGACCCTAGTATATACCGATTACAGACAGACTAATCCTTGGCCATAGGGGTGACGTTATTGTGCGATCGCTCTGATGTCGGTCTGGTGTCGGTCTCGTTGGTGTGACAAGGGTATCAGTGGTACCAAGAAGGCCGACATATTTTTTGTTGTTGTAATCATTACGGTGAATGGCGATGTCATCGGTCCGTTCGGAGTCGATTTGGCGGTGTGACTGTGTGATAACAACTCCCAGTGTTTGAGATCGCCTGCACGATCAGGATAAGATACAGATCGTGCAGACGATTCAAAAATCGGAAAATTGGAATATTATTCCCTCGTTAGAAATCTCTACCTTGAAGCTGCCTTATATGTATAATCCCATCTTGTATTTATATTTGAAAATTAGAGCAATTACTTATTATTTGAATGTCATCATCTCAATCGATTTTAGGAATTATGTAAGTGTAATGGGACAATAAGAACGATACTGACGCTATTTATATTCAATTCAATCTCAATAATGGTCAATGATTGGTGCATTGATTTATTTATGCAAGTTATAGGAGACATGTACAACGAGTCAGGGGACAAACTAACTATTCCCCCTCAGCATCTCGACGACGCCTATTTACAAGTAGATTAAGAAAGAACATTGTTTGACATGGAAATTGGCAATTACTAATTTACTATTCTTCATCATTAGTATTTCTATAGTTATTACATGTTTTCTGTATTATTTATGTCTGCATCGATATCCTCCAAATGTAATGGCTGAAATAAGCACTTTATCTCATTTTCACTCTCTCTTTAGAGTCACCGTATTTTGAAGGAATATTTGATTTTATCCGTTTGAGACAAGAAACAGGCACCTTCCTCCTTCCACTCCAAATTATAAGAGGCCTGTGTTATTGACTTGGTGATATCACAAACTAAGATTAACCCGATGGCCTATAATTTAAATGTAAGCCTGTTCGTTTTTGGATTTCCAAAGCATTTTGGAAGCGCGTAGAAATGGTGGATCGTATTATATTTTTAGGCTGTACAAAACGCATTTTGACCATACTACTATAATTCAAAATTAACATCCATTATTATGCATTCAAATCGAGCCAGATCTGGATTACTTCGGAAACTCATTAATTATAAAATTACTTAGAAAATCAGATTTTTACGGCTTGCTGCGAAACAACAATCTGATAAAACTTACTACTTATTTAACTTCTTTAAATCCTAAAATTTTGTTTTCCATTGTACCTATGTTTGTCAAACATATTGTATCCATTATTTTGTACATTTGATTATACTGTTTTATGCTTTGAGAAAAACTGAATAAAGACCTTATTTGGAGAAGAAGAAAAATCACTGCTTTGTTAAATATGACCAAAATATGCAATAAGTAACTAGCGAACTATTTTGTATTCAATTTGATATTCTCCAGTTTGTCCTGTGTTGATAAAAACTCCTCTGTGAATGATTAGCTTAACAGACATATCCATTAGGCTATTAATCGTTTCGTAAAACTATTGACCTTATTTTTAATCGTTAATGACTCATATTTTACAACTCACATCGTGCGGTATTTGCACTAAAGTTTTATGACGATTTTATTCCAGTAATGTGTTTTGAAAGTTAAACAGGTCAGTTTTAGGCAAAGTAAGACCACATAATTTAAATTTCATAATTCATTGTATCATGCATTAATTTGCTCTGTCATTGGTAATATGCGATAATGACAATAATAATAATGGTAATAATAATAATAATAAAAAAAATATATATAAATAATAATAATGATAATAATAATGATCATGATAATTATAATAATATGTCTTGTTTACCCAGGGTAGCCTCATCAGTATTAATACTGTTCTCATTGAGGCACCAATGCTGCTATCTGACCATAGAGTTGTGGAATTGCAAATGTGATGCAGAAAAATGAGCAAACCTGTTTTTTAACTTGTAGAATTACGACAATATAGTCACGGAGAGACAATGAAATATTGTATAAGTCCATGATAGAACTGTTTTAAGAACTAAATATTATGATGTATGTATATATATGTTGACTTCATACAGATTTTTAAACTTCTAAATATATTAGGTGAAATATCCACACATTTCGTTATTTTATATTGCATTTATTGATATCGTTGTAGTAGGGAGAAATTGAATAGATGAAAGGCGAATGAATCATTTCACATTGAGTGCTAAAGAAAGAAATCAGGGGAAAAAAATTGGACAAAGATTAAGAAAGTTACAATTTGAAGGTAGATTTTGATTCGATTTGATTTATTTATTCTCCGAATTCACAATAAAAACAAGATAAGTATACAAAACATTTACAACATAATATAAATCAACATTTATACAAACATAATGTACAATGTAAAAATAAGAAGAAGACAATAATGAAGTCAGAAGGACACCCAGTTCAGTCTAGCCATAGACAAGACTGTTCTTCCATCAGGTCCAAGATGATTGTTATGATATCATTAATTACACAGAAAAGCAAAATTTTGGTGATGGTGTGTGACGCCATATTACGTTGCTAAATCTCTTATTTGTGTTGTACCCAATAAAGTATCCCTTTCTCAATTCTTTTGATGGAACATGTCTTATTTTTACGAGAGAACATGTGAAAATATATCATGGAAACTAAAGAACTGTTTTATCTATGATAAGAATGAAAAAGGACCTTTTGTAGATTTTTACTTAAAAAAGTAAAGGTACTCTCGGTATGAAATCACACATACCTGACGACATTGTTTATAGATTTCCAATTTTATATGGCGTCTCAACTATCAAAAGAGAGGCATAGGGGGTGGGGGGGGGGGGGGGACTGCGGAGAGGGAGAGATGGGTACGCAGAGGAGAGAGACAGAGACGGAGAGAGACAGACAGACAGAAATACATGTCATGAGAGGGATTATAGAGACAGATAGACAGAGACAGACAAGAGTAGAGAGGGAGAGGAATACAGAGAGAGAGAGAGAGAGAGAGAGAGAGAGACCATAGAGATATATACTTAATGTTAGTAGTATATATCTCTATGAGAGAGACTCACATGAGAAGAAGAGAGACAGACAATAGGAGAGAGGGTGAGAGAGAGAGAGAGAGAGAGAGAGAGAGAGAGACACACACACACACACACACACACACACACACACACACAGAGGAGAGATAAAGAAGAATAGACAGGCAGAATGGACGGAAGGGAGAGAAAAAGACATAGATAATAAGATTTAGTTTTATAATTGTAGAGTGGAAGGTATAAGAGCATGAGAAATGAGTTTACATTAATAGGGCTGGTAATTTAAGAAAAGAATCGAAAGGATAAGTGGCGCAGGAAAGATCTACCTGCCTAAAGAGTTTATAAAACAATTCTTTATCATAGTTATTTCAGGTTGGTTACATTCTATTAACTTCAACTAAAATGTTTGAGTATTACGTAATAGGCATAACAGAAAATGTAATGTAATTGAACGGAATCAGTATAATTCTTAATATAAATCTACGAACATGTATTAATTAAAGTATATGTATTACGGATTAGCATGATTATTAGACAAAAGAACAATTATTTGGGCCTGCTTCCATTGATCAGTGATACCATGCAATGTTGCATGCGAGTACATACTTCCACTATTCTCCATCATAGGGTTAAGGTAGCAATATTTTTCATATGCTTCCGCTGTGCTCTTGCCCGACCAAGCAACATATCATCTACTTAAATCGAGTAGACCAAGCCTTGATTGTATGATCTTGGTGACCATGCCCAGCGCCATCTACGTTTGACGTTAACATAAGACAACTCTTATCATATTTCTTTTGGCTAAGGAAAGTCGTATATTTCATATATATAAATTGATTGGTTTGCTTTGGTTTGTCTTGTTTTCTTGTGATCATAGGTAGGAAGAATTTCCCCGAGAAAGAGGATGAACTAATTGATGATTGTGCATCACAAAGCATGAATTCCTTTAAGGTCCAGTAAAATGTTTCTTCCCAACTTTAATTACTTTAAGTTGCCGGACTTCAAGACGCAAATTGAGATGCCCCTTTGTCCAAAATATACATTTATATTCACGCAGTTTATCACTGTTTTAATGATTCATTCGAAGTGTGCCGCTTTGAATTAAAGTTACTCTAAAAGTGTAAGATATTTATACATGCGCAACACGTTATATTAGTATCAAAAGGCCTTGCAGTTATGCACGTTGTAATAATAATGTCTTAATGTAAAGATTTTTAGCATTCACATAGCCTACTCACATTCATAACCAAAACTATATCGTTTATGCACAATTTATCATTATTATTGGATAAGAATGATTGTTATGCAGAAACGCTAAAATGTCAGTTGCAATATCTCTTTGACATGGCATGTGTGGTTGAGAATTGTCCGAATCCGCTGCACCTCTCTTCAATTCCCAACACCACTCCTTCTCTCTCTCTCTCTCTCTCTCTCTCTCTCTCTCTCTCTCTCTCTCTCTTTCTCTCTCTTTCTTTCTCCCTCTCTCTCTTTCTCTCCCTCTCTCTTTCTTTCTCTCTCTTTCTTTCTCTCCTTCTCTCTCTTTCTTTCTCTCTCTCTTTCTCTCTCTCCTTCTCTCTCTCTCTTCCTTCTCTCTCTCTCTCTCTTTCTCTCTCTCTTTCTCCTCTCTCTCCCTCTCTCTCTCTCTTCATCCCTCGCTGTCTTCTAACATTTTCTATTTGGCACACTCACATACATACACGCACGCACCCCTTCCCCCTCTCTCTCTCTTTCTCTCCCACTTTCTCTCTCACTCTCTCTCCCCCTAATATTTAACCCATTTTATGCCATCATTCAGCTATGGTATTTACTTTCATATTACACGAATAAAGAGGTAATAGAATTAGCCCTCATTTAGGAGTGAGAAATTAAGTAGGCCTATAGATTATCATTTGAATGTCCTTGTCACATCTGTAATCAGTTAACATGAAACAGAATCTCTCTTTCATCTTTCATTCCCGCAACGTTGAATAACTAAAAAGGCTAGTTTCTGAAAATATTTCTGGGGTCCCACGAGAGAGAACAAAATCCAATATACTTGCACTATACGCGAACAGGATAGACTGCGTTATGGAAAATTAGTCTGATTAATGTCAGCGTGTGAGGTGAGATAATCTTCTTTGAAGAGGCTACGTGCTTGATGAAACTGAGAGGAATCTTTGAGAGCTTCTTAGGGAAGACTAAACTCGAACGGAAGTCCTTCATAGAACGCTTCAGCCCCAATATCCAAAGCAAATTTTTGAACAGCGCGCAGGAGTAAGAAGTTTATTTTCATGATTACGGAGGAAGGAGTGCTAATATTCCGGGTCTTACAAGTGAAAAGCTAAAGCGAAAGCTTACACAAAACATGTCGTACTTAAATTTAAAGAAAACGCCGTGATAATAATGTAATGCTTTGAATATAGTTTTACAGGAATTAACAACGATAATGTTTCTAGGCCCCGATATAGTTGGACTTTGAGGAGGGGGTGGGGGCATTTAAGCCAAGATACCCTTGGGATGTTTGTATTCATATTTTCATAATCTATTATCGTTAACCGTTTCACACCTGGGTGGAGAGTGGCAAAAGTAACTTAATTTCAGTCAGGTGCCATTTTACAGACGCTCACGACGCTGAACAGACTACAATGACCTTCGCATCCCACCGAGTAGGGCCTACCCATTTAACACCGGGGTCAAGAGAAGCATTGAAGATAAAATGCCTTCCTTATAGAGACATAAATGCCAGGCAGGGGATCAAACCCACGGTATGTGCATCTCCAGTCAAGTGTATAAACCACCAACTACTATACTATTACTAGGCCGATATAATCGCTCATCGCTGACACGTGGAACCAGGTGTTGATGTTTCTACTTGGAGGTGTTTCGCGTGGTCATCGATGGAGTGGTTTGTGAGAGTTCACAGGGTTCAGCATCAGCCCTTAGCCGACGTCAATGTGCCCCCATCGGAAGTCCCTCACACTCCCCTTTACCGCGAAGAGCTCGAGGTATGCGGATGATAAGACACGGTGGCTGGGCAGACGTCCCGAAACATTTCCATCGATCCATCGGAGAATACCTGCCCTAGACAATAAATAGCATCGCGGTTTATGATCAATGATCTAAGCTGGAGATCTGGCAGAAGATAGGTAAGAGCGAATTAGAATAAGAAAAATTAGACTTTGAGGTTTATTTAAAAATAGCGATCACTCTATGAACTTGTCTGAGACTCATTTTATATGTACCTGTTTCGTTTCCCGTTTCGTTTTCTTAGTTGTTGTTTATCTTTAAAATGATTAATTTCATAGTTCTTCGTTTAACCATGGTGTTTGTCTCTTGGATTAACGAACGGCGTCTGGTAGTTAGTCATGATGTTGTTTAGTTTCAGAAATACCAAAAAGAAACGTAGCTAGTAAACCTAGCCAGGTGAATAAAAAGCGAAATGTCTATTTTCTGTTTGTTTTATTTGTTTTCATTCATTAAAGGGCAATCGTTCATTTGCATTAAAGCAAAAACAAAAATAAGAGAAACAGAATGGTGCAAGTTTGAAATAAATTACGTATTTTGAAACAAATAGGAAAGTTATCTGGCACTTCGTCATATTGACATTGCCGATTCAGACAATTTAAAGTGCCCCTACGTTTATTATTAAATTTTTCTTATTTCTTGTCCTAATTCGTTCAAACTTTCACCAGTCTGTTTCTCTGACTTTTATTCTTTCTGTTAGAGTAGTTTGCTATTAGGGTTGGATTTTCCTGAAAGTATACTAAGCAGAACTTACCGGAATTTTTTCAGAAAGTAGAATTTCTGAGTGAGAAAATAATTGAAAATATTAAGCCTAGGCCACTCAAAGAAGTTTAAGTATGATCGATTATATCTTTCTTGTCATGGCATACTCATCGCTATGTCTATTATCATTAGAAATTTGGATTTATTACTTTATAAAATGATATCCCATTTGATATGATTTTTCAGTCATGGAATGTGCAGAAGATCAAAATAAATTCCATGATTATTACACGAAAATTCAGCCTCACATGCACGGTGTTATCAAACTATACCCCCTCCCCCTTGGTTTCAAAACCCTAAATTATTCTGTTGTCGAAAAATGAGTTCCAAATTAATTTCTTCAAACTAAACTTAAGAGATATTTCAATTAAAAAAACACGAATATTATTTTTACCCCTTTGCCAGAGCTCCAAGAGGCAAACGTCAAAATTTGATAGAGGTTTCTCCTGCATGGTGATGATTATCTCTCTCTAGAAATTACATTCTTAAACAATTTCTAATTTCTTATTTCACAGGGCTCCATTATCCCTTCACCACTTCTTTCTCTCTTTTTAATTTTGTTTCTCTCTCTCTCTCTCTCTCTCTTCGGTTTCTTTCTCTCGTTCGCTCTGCTGCCTTCCTTATTCTCTCTCCCTCCCTTCCCCACTCTCTATTTCTCCCTCTCCCGTTTCCTCTGGGTTCGTCTACTCTCTTTTATGCCAAATCTTTCCGGAATCAACACTTCCCATGCAGTCCCCCTCTCATTCCTCACTTTTTTTCTCTCCCCCTCTCTCTCTCCATCTCTCTTCCCCCCCCCCCTCTCTCTCTCTCTCTATATATATATCTATCTCTCACTCTCCTGTTTACTCTCTCTTCTCCAATGGTTCCTTCATTTTCTTTTATACCAATTCTTTCCAGAATCAAATCTCCCCCTCTCCCCCCTCTCTCTCCCTCTCTATTTCTCTCCCCCTCTCTCTCCCGTCTACTCTCTGTTCCCCAATGGTTCCTCCATTCTCTTTTATACCAAATCTTTCCATAATCCTGGACAATAATTGTACAATCTTCGTAAATATATCAAAACTAGTGAAAACAAATATTAAATTTCTATACAATAATCATACGCTCTTTGAGCATTATATACTGTCTCTCTCTCTCCCTCTCGGTTTCCCCTCTCTCTCTCTCCCTCTCCCTCTCTCTCTCTATATATCTATCTCTCACTCTCCCGTTTACTCTCCGCTTCCCCAATGGTTCCTTCATTTTCTTTTATACCAAATCTTTCCATAATCAAATCTCTCCCCTCTCTCTCTCTCTCTCTCTTTCTCCCTCTCTCTCTCACCCTTCTTTTCTTCCTTCTTCTTCTCTCTCTCTCTCTCTCTCTCTCTCTCTCTCTCTCCCACCTTTTCCTTTCATTATTTTCTTATTCATTTTGACATTTTAATATTTCTCACATCACTAGTGTGTCACTCCCTCCAGGAGAATCCAGGATTTGAATAAATAATCTATAAACACAAAACTATTTCTTAAAAGTATATTTTCAATATAAAACTATCCTCGATAATTTGTACAATCTTCGTAAATATATCAAAATTAGTGAAACAAAATATCAAGATATCTATACAATATAATCATACGCTCTTTGAGCGTTATCTACGAAAATATTAAACATATTTTTTAACAGAATCATTTTATCCAGATCGATTTTGCAGCACAATTTTGTGATTAAGTATTTCTGAAGATCAAGATCCGAATAAATTTGAACCACTTTTAAACTACAATGTTGCAATTATTGTATAGTCTGGCAGTGAATTCCTTATTCAACCTGTCCAAGGGATATATTTAACTCTGTATTGCATTAGTATTTTGTTCCTCTTAACAAAAATAGAAACGAGGGTGTAAATTCATATTTGACTTGATCTACGTATCCAACATTATAATATGGTCGGACCTTTTGCGTCTAAGTTGCCAACAGACGAAACAATTAAAAATGAAACAAAAATACTGAACACACCGATTGGTTGGAAGTTAAGTTCAGTTGTTTGTGTATATGTTTATTTCAAGCTTCATTTAACGGCATAGTTATGCAAGATGCCTAACCAAAAGAGCCGTGTGGATGAAATTTAAAAGTATTTTTAAGATACCGGTTTATTTTCTCTTAAAAGGGTATTCTTTCAAGTGGGAGTCAATAATGTCCCCAACATTCAATACAGATTCAGGTTTCTCTTGACATACAACGACCACCTTTTGTATTGACGTCACAATGGTTATCTCTTACGTAGTCACGACTTGCCCATTAAGGGAGCAGCAAAATAATGCTATCTCGCGGAGTCACATGACAAACTTATAAAATCATTTGCTCTTCCCCTATACTCGATACAGTGTTTTGAAGCGATTGATATCTATAAGATTTGAGCAGGTAAATGGCAAATAACGGGAGTGATGAACGAGCCTTTAAAAGTGTTGCAGGGATTTGCACGATGAAAATCTCAAAACTTGTAAAAGGGCCAAATTGTTGTAAAAATAATGATTGTAAACTTTCCTGAAAGTATGGTGGCAAAAATATCAATTATCAGCAAAAATACAGTCATTCTTCTTTCCACGTTTAAATTTTGCAGCTTGCAGTGTTTTATTTCTTCGTCCGTTGTGTACAAAATGGGTGGCTTCAATTTTCACTCATAGAGAGAAAACCACAGGGTCTTTTGATCTGAAATTTTGCTCATACTTTTATAAACTCATCTTACTAATACAGATAAATGTTGAGATAGTTTTTGAGGGCTTTCAAATCCCTGGTAGGGGCTGTAAACATGTTAAAGCTAGGTCAATTATCTCTTGTGAAGGGTATTTTTTCTTATTGAAAGCACGTTTCCCTTAATTTTCTTTCCGTATGGCAATGATATTCAACTTTCTTTTTAAGTACCGAGTAGTATACGAATTTATGAAATATACAGTAGTTCGTGGATGGATTAGTGCAGGCATAATTATGTTTAAGCAACATATTTAATTTATCAATAAGATGTAAATATTACCACTGGTTGAAAATAAAGAGACAACCATTAACCTATACTTTCATCATCGTCCCCTGAACAATGACTATTGCATGTATACAATTAAACATCATTAAAGAATAATTCAATATTATTGATAGTTCTGTTAATATCATTATCATAGATAAACCCTGGATCTTTCAATCAGCAGAAGTATCGCTTAAAATCAAATTGATGACTCTTCGTTCATTCAAAGTCTGTAAAAATATGCTTTCCCCTCAGATCAGACTAATCTTTACTGACATATATATTCTCGTTGGTTATTTCCCTGATCGACGGGCACTGAGAGTCCGTGGAAGATCGGTACCCTAAGGTCCTCCGACCCGTCCCGGTGTCCATATACCCTACCATGTACATGTAATTCTTTTGCTCACGATAGTTCACATACTCCGAGCCAGGATGCGATTCACGGTAGGCATCGTACGATCGGAAAGAAGACGCTTGTCTGGGGGAAAACCCGTGATCAGTGAGGGCTTCGTAGAAGTCTGAGCCGCCCGAACTCAGGACGGATGACGATGTCGGATCGCTGGACTGCGCGAAATCGCGAGATCTCGCGTTGAATTTCCCGCGAGTGCGTACGACAGCGATGGGTTCTGGGACGCCGTTGCAGGTTCGGTCCTTGAAGGAGTATTTGAGATTCTTGGAGCAGCAGAGGCAGAATGTGATGACGCAGAGAGCGACGGTTGCTTGGAAGGTTGTAACTATGGCAACCACCATTGGTACGGGACTGCATCCGGCGTCGAAAGGGGGAGGAGAGGGTTCATGGTGAGGATCAGAGCCATGACCAAAGTGGTGTTCTGAAGTGGAGTTGATACTGGGTTCAAAGGAAGGTTGCTTTGGTGCCTCCTCGCCACATGGACATGCCAGGACCAACTTGGCGGGTAGCATCTTAACACTGTTCAGTGCCTTGCGGACAATGCATCGGTATGTCCCATGGTCATACGCCTGGAGATTATGAATGATCAGCGATCCTCTCTTGGTGATGCCATAACGAGATACATTCGACATAATCAGCTTGCCGTTCGGTGTGAGCCACTTAATCTTGGAATCATTCATGTTATGGATATGGACTGGACAGTCAATTTTCACAGAAGATCCTTTAAGGCCCCAGGACTGAGGAGATCCCCGAGGTACTTCGGCTGCCGTCGGAGAAGACCTGAAAGGATCTGTTGCCTCGTACGAAGCCGTTGTGGAGACTGGATCATCGGGGTTGACAGGATGCCCGTTATTCAAAGTTGGATGATTCCTGCTACCTGCCCGCGGTGGTGGGCGTGGGAGCTCGTTGAAACTTCCATTCACCCTGGACCCGTTATCGGTTACATTTACTCGAGGGTTGTCCGTCACATTTCCTGTCGGGATGTCTTTGCGAGAGGATTGGGTCAACGTTGGTGGCGTGTAGTGACTAATGCCGTCTGTTGTGCCTCCGCTATTTGCTATGACATGCATTTTTGTTGTAGCCACTGGTCCCGGCGACAGTGTTCCTCTAGGGGTCAATGGCTCAATAGGGGCGTGTATTTTGGGCATTATGGAAGATGTTCCCCCTGAATCAGACCTACCAGTTTCCATCCCTGTAACACTGTTACTGATGCCGCCTTCGATCGACGTGACACTTGTCTTGGAAACCGTTCCACGCGAGAGATCCGAAAAGGACGCAAAGAATTCACTATATTCCGATGCTGATTCCGAATTCATTCCAGCTTGAGTAGAAACATGACTAACAACGCTTTCATTTTCATCAGCCTCGGCTGCTTGAGAGGGATCGTTCCCCTCCCGACTGATTGGAAGGTTTCCTAATCTCGTGGAACACTGCAGAGGATGCTGAATGTGATATATAGGCGTACCGTGAAAATGGCTGGGTACATTGCATATGGCATAACTCCCATAGGCCTCGTATAGGTTCTCTCGGAGCCATACCCGAAGAAACTCTAACCTGCAATCGCAATTGAGCTGGATATGTTGAAGCCGAATATGAGTGATCGCTGGTAGGTATGGTAGAATGTTTGGAAGTGTCACGAAAGGATTTTCTGCCAGAGACAGAGTCACTAGGTTGACCAAGCCGCGGAAAGCTTCTTTATGGACGGCTGTTATCTCATTACCGTAGATGTAAAGACGCTGCAATGTTTGCAGCGGAAAGAACATATTGCCGTGCAGAGTTGTTAACTTGTTATAGTTCAGTTTAAGACTGATGAGATTCGTCATGCCTGTGAACGTTCCAGGTGCGATAGACTCGATTTCATTATTAGCGAGATACAGTTTCTTGATCGCGGTGAGACCGTTGAACATCCCCGCGTAGAGATGACGCAGTTGGTTCGCGCGTACATCAAGCAGTTGCAGTTGGTCCAAGTTGCTGAAGGCGCCTGGTGCAATGTTGGCCAAGACGTTCTGTCGCAGGTCTAAGATCCGGAGCCGCGGGAAGCTCTGGAAAGCGAGAATCTTGAGGTGGGTCAGCTCGTTGTTGGCCATGTTAAAGTGCCTTGTGTCCGTCTGGCAGCATGGGTCAGGTACGCACCGTAGCATATGACCCTCGCAGGACAGTCTGGCGTACCGGGTGTTCGTCTCACATTCAGACATACATGTCTGTGTATGCTGTGCACTGGTCTGGAATCCATGGTTTAGGCAGACGACCACATGAATCATCAACATCAATGGCAGGCTCTCCATCATCTAGCAGTTCTTGTTAGCCTCAGTCCGTCTGTAGAATAGATACAATTAAAAAAAACACGTTTGATAACAACGATGAAGTTTATTTAAACTTGACATTATGAACAACATGTGATTCCAAACCAGAATAGAATCAACAGCCTCCACACCATTTGATATTGATAGGTGAGAGATAGAAGGAGAGAGAGAGAGAGAGAGAGATGGGTGGGGGTAGAGAATGATTCAACACAGAGATACATAGCAGAGAATGACATTTCTAGAGATTTTATCAACGAATGTATCAACTCATACCTACATAAAGATGAACATTAATGTAAATGTATCTGGGCTATGAGGGACACGACGAACTCTTTATAGAACAACCTTCTGGGATGTGCGTTCATGGGGTATCCTGATTAGATTCCAAAGCTCATATCTTCATCCCTCTGATATCATTCAATCTTTGAATGTGGCAGCCACAATCGGTACCCCCAAAACCGATTTGATATCTTGATATACCCATCTATGATGTACAACTTTTATATTTAATATAAATCTCCTATCTTTGATCGAATGGCTTCCTTATAACGACAGCATAGAAACGCGGCTATACGCTATCCTTTTGCAACGCTATCCTTTTGTAACGCTATCCTTTTGTAACGCTATCATTTTGTAATCTTACTTTTAAAATGTTAAATGTTGAATTATCTGCATATTTATATAAATATTTTGATCTCTTTATTTTTATCATATCATTAATATCATTTCCAAAGACTTGAGAAAATACCATGATACTTTGTCAAAAGTATCTGCTCCACAAATTCATGACAATGCATAACAACCATTTGAAAGTGAAATGGAAATATTAGCACTAGTGATAATTAAATGATAATAGCATTACTAGTTGTAAGGTTTATATAATAATAATTATGGTACTAATATTAACAATTGCAGCAACATCAGCAGCAGCAACAACAACATCAACAATAACGGTCATAGGATTATGATGATTATGGATAATTGTTTCTTTGATTCTTTACAATTATATTTACAGTGGTCATAATGATCAATGATCATGAAAACAGTAAAGTAATGAAAGTGAATATATACAGCATGGTAAATATTTACACGGCACTCCATACTCTGCTGAAGATCGCGTCTAATAATATCTCGTACTCACCAATATCTACAGCACTAAAAATAATTCATGCTGAATTTGTCCTTAAGAAATGAGAAATTTTAATGCTCTGAATAATATACCTGATACATTCATCAATTAATACCTACATTCGATTCTACTGAGTTCATGGCATTAAGTTTCGTCTCCATTCATATCATGGGAGGAACCTAAAACTTCAGATTTAATATTTCAAAATAACATCATATGTGGGTGAATTTTCAAGGCAATCTGAAACACGGATAGATAAAACTCTGTTTTTTACCTATCTTGACATAGTCATGTGATCAAAATAGTCTTGGAAAATTGTCTAGGCTACCGACGTCGAGCCCACAACCTGTATTCCTATTTTTAAATTAAAATCTACATACAATTATGGATTTGCCAATGCATGGAACAACCTGATGATGCCCTCTTTTGAAACCCGATTAGCATACCCTAGGTACATATTGCCCGAGAGGTGCCCCCTTATGACCCAAAAGGCACCTGTAAAGAGTGCTTAAGTTTGTTTTCCTTAGGCACATCGTTGGATCGGTGTATTGAGCGCTATATAAAAAACGGATTATTATTATTATTATTATTAGGAAAAAATATAAATTGTGCCCTCTCCAAATTCCTGGACCCGGCATCTATCAAGTGGAGATGTTTCATCTTAATTTACACCTTGAATTCCGAAAGGGGGTGGGGGCACATATCTGAAATATCTCGTATGAACAAGAAGAAAAGGGAATTATACTATTTCACAGTTGCTCATTTTCTCAAAACCTTTAACAAGTAATTCTGAAAAAGGGGGGAAATGGGTTATCATAACATGTTGGTCAAAGGGAGACGCCCCCCCCCCCGTATCTCCTCTGAAACTCGATGTAAAGTTAAACCACGTCTCTTTGAGCTCCAGTGTTCGCTGTAGTTATTTACATGGCATAAAGGGCTCACTTCATAAGAATTTATATTCAACAACATGCTACACATAAATCAGCTCCACGAATGTTACCCGCATGTTTAGGAGCATTTAAGGTGCATTGAACTTCAGTTTGCTGGAGTGTCAATGCTTGCTTTATCCGGGTATCAATCCTTAAAATACATTTAATTTCTCTTTTGATATCAATCGAGAAATTGTTTCCGTTCATGCGGGGGACCAGTATACTGGTCCGTGTAGCTCTTAGCATACTAAGAGCGAGCTACAGGAAGGGAACTGACGCAGTTTCCAGTGTCCGCAGTTTAACTCGGTAACTACCGAAACTCTCCTTTAGGTCGTACACAGAGCATGGCTGTGATACGTGGGTGCAAAGGGGTTAATTATGCTCGGTTGATTGAGGGGTAATAGTTCCTGGCAAAGCGGTCGATGTAATTGACGTCACCGCTTAATAGCTTCTATTTCACTGAAACACTTTGGAAGATCTTAAAGGAAAGTAATAGTTATGGTTGTCAAAAATGTGTGAACTCAACAGTTCTCAACAGAGATAAGCTTTGAAAAATAATCCTTTTGAAGAAAAAAATGGGGAAAATGTTATGTTCCATATATTTCTACAATGTACCTTCATTCATTTGGTTTAGTACCAAACTAAACGCTAAATATCTTTGCCTTGACAAAAATAAAGGCATGTATTTTATTTAAAAAAAAAGAGATTTCCATTTTTTTCATTTAAATATGGATTTCATTTCCATGCTGGGATTTGATCAGTTAAATTACCAAAGTCTTGGAGAGCAATTGCCCCCCCCCCCCCATTGACGTGTACAATGAATTAATTTCAAAATTCAAAACCGATATTTACGACTATAATCCGGTCAATAAACAGTATAAAAGGGGACATGCTGGCTGTAAACTTCCTAATTTGTTGATTTTGTTCAAAGAATACCCCCAAAAAACATAGTCACAGGGAGGAAGGCGCACTAGAAAATTTTAACAAGCGTAAAGTAAAAACCTTTTTGTAATATTTGGAGTATTTCTGGATAATTATTCCACATCAATCTAATAAAAGTAGTTTCCTAGTACTTTTTATATTGCATGAATGTCTGCGGATTGCAATGGAACAAACCCTTTCAATTTACAGATTGATTACCAAATCTCGAGGGTAGTACTAGATGTAATATCATTATATTGAAAGGGAAATAACTGACAAAAACGATTACTTTTATCAAACATCTGTTTAAATCCAAACAATTGCTAAATAAAATCCGTGGGACCTTGGACATTCTTCATAGGTCTAATCCATTAACTTTAGGGACGAATTAACTGAGAGGTTTTTGTTAAATACAGTTTTAAAGAAAATCTAAAACTTGCCCCCCCCCCCCCCGTTCCCTCCGGAAATTTTAAAGTTTATAGTCATGTACGCCAGGAGGAGTAAGAAAGAGACTCAAAATGTGTATTAACAGTAACATAGTATATGAGTAACACGCATTCTGAATTCTTCAGTGATAATATAATTATATAATATAATAAGTATTCCTTGAGTTCCCTCAAGTGAGGCCAGGGGAGGGTGAAAATATAGAATTTTCTCTTGTTTGTGAAGAAAACGCAATTGCCAAAAACTTACTTCGAAATTAAAGAAGTTTTGGCTCGAATCGCATTATGATACGCCCTTAAGTTACACCTACTACTTAAAGGCCACTCGTATGGAAATGTAAAAATTCCAGTATGATTTCTTTTTTATTTTAAAATAAAAAAGAAATCATACTGGAATTTTTACATTTTCATACGAGTGATAAATTATCTATTGGTTAGAATCTGAAGTGATAGACTTTCTGATTTCCAAATTCTCTAATAAATATATTGTATATCCAATGTCTAGATGGCCTCGTTTCTTTAGACATTTCAGTACCTCATTACAAATTGTAAATAACCTATATACATGTTAGGAAGTTATCATAGATTAATAGGATATAAAAAAATGAATATGTCATTTTAGATCAAACTGTTCGATACAAATCTTATCATACTCCAGCTGTCACTAATTCTCTATTCCTAGTTCTGGTATCTGATTAAGTAATGTTTTAAACAGACTTTCGACACTTCATTATTGATTAATTAAATGGAAAGTACTTTAAGACAGGTCGGATTATTAGGATATTAAAACTAAGCATGACATTTTAAGATCAAAGTATGAGATACAAATCTTATCATGCCGAGGCTGTCACTTCTTTTACAATCTTAGTACCATTAAATGGCTAATTACGGCGGAGTTTTGCCAACAAGTCTGGTTGAAAATTCGCCTATATCGCGAATGGAATAAAACATTTAAAAACTTTGCTTTCTAACACATATAAATAGACGTTCATATACATGCATATCACTATAATTATAATACAATTAAACCTTAAATCTTAAAGTAGTAATAGCACAGAAATTCAGTTGACTATTAAAGGCATCGTTTAACAATGTGAAATCTGAGATGCGTGGCCCTATGTGTTATCAGTGTCTCTTATGGTGCAACATTGAAGCCCTAAAAAAATGCGCTTCAAAATGATCATGAAGTGCCTCCAAAAAGTAAAAATCTTTGAGTGACCAGTTTTACCATACTCATTTTCCCCAATAGACTGTAGTGTTAAAAAAACCGTTAGGAAAAGTATTTTTGAAATTTCTATTTCCAATCATAACTACCTTGATAATCAGACAGGGGATCGGCTTATAAAATTCATGGGGTTCCTGACTGACTGACCTTAAGGTTTATAATTATGATTGCAGCATGAGCTAAATCCAGGATTTTGTTTCAGAATCTGAGACAAAGTTACCCGATTCCTTTAATGGGACATGGTGAAATCGTAATGTCTCCTTGATGCATTTGATCAACATTTCGTTGTTTATTTTTTTTCTTTTAAAAAATATCAAAAATAGTATCGAGAGGCAGAGCACTCCTCCCCGTGGGAAGGAATGAAAA